GACGTGCTTTTGAACTGCTAGGTTGGCAGGAGCAGGGACCGAGCAATGGGAGCTCACCCCGTCGCGGGGATTAGAACCGCTGACCTTCTGATCGGCAGGTCCTAGGCTCTGTGGTTTAACCCATGTCCCAATGGTCTTCTACTACTCCAAGTTAAATGCAGCCAGGCGAAACCCACAGGGGCAAAGTGGAGCCTCCCCACTCATAAGCAGTCTACCGTCAAAGGCAGGGGATAGGCAGCAGGGGAGTGCCAGTGCCTTCTGTCCATGTTGGGGGCCCCACCCCACCCCACAAACGGGATCTAGTTGACCACTGCTGGAAACAGGTGGTGGGGGAGAAGCCCATGTCTCACCTAGAAGCCAGGGCAGTTCTTATATGTTCTGATACATTTCCTAACTCTGATTTCCTCCAAAAATTATCCAGGGCTGTTGCATGTATATTTTATGGGTTGTTGTTGCTGCTTGCTTAAAAAAAAGTTAGGCAGTAGATAAATTTTGATAAATAAAATTTTAAAAAATGTATTCTAATGAAACCTGGGATTCATTTGATGAGGGATTGTTGAAAGTTGTCCTTAAATAAAACAGCACAACAAACAACATAGCAAGTACCTCAGAAGGTTGTGGACTCTTCTTCTTTGGAGGTTTTTAAACACAGGTTGGATGGCCATCTGCCAGGGATTCTTCAGCTGTGATTCCTCAATTACAGGGGCTTGACTAGATGACCACTGGGATCCCTCCAAACCCTACAATTCTATGATTATTATCTACCCTGTATTTTGTAAAGTTGTTTATCCACTATGCATTTGAGTATCGCTTTAAGATGTCAACACCCAATTTTGCACGGTGGAGCCTGAAATCAAAGAACAGGTTTTCAGCTATTTAATTTGGGGGGGGATAAAATTGGATGCCATTTCGAATCAAGATGGCGGACTGAGCCTTTCAGAGCTGCACTGATTTCAAAACTGCAGATTTGTTTGGGTTTCTTAGAATTTCCGATTGGCAGAGTACGAGACAAGCCTGCTTGGAATCACCAAAGTCTTCCATCACCTTTTCTCTCCATCACAGGAATTAAAAGGACAAGCACACAGCCTAGATCTTGACCGAAAGGGCAACCTGTCATGAGAAATCACAGAGACTTTATGGGATTAAGGCCACATAATTGGCTTGAAGCGGCCAAATGGTGTCAGCTTCACGTCTTCTGCGACAGAGAGGAGAAAGCCGATTGGGCAAACATCGTTGTTTGTGATGGGAAGTTAAAAGAGGAAGCCAGTGGTGTGTGTGTGTGTGTGTGTGTGTGTGTGTGTAATTGTTGTTGTTTAGTCGTGTCCGACTCTTCGTGACCCCATGGACCAGAGCACGCCAGGCACTCCTGTCTTCCACTGCCTCCTGCAGTTTGGTCAAACTCATGTTGGTCTCTTCGAGAACACTGTCCAACCATCTTGCCCTCTGTTGTCCCCTTCTCCTTGTGCCCGCCATCTTTCCCAACATCAGGGTCTTGTCCAGGGAGTTTTCTCTTCTCATGAGGTGGCCAAAGTCTTGGAGCCTCAGCTTCAGGATCTGTCTTTCCAGTGAGCACTCAGGGCTGATTTCCTTCAGAATGGAGAGGTTTGATCTTCTTGCAGTCCATGGGACTCTCAAGAGTCTCCTCCAGCACCAGAATTCAAAAGCATCCATTCTTCAGCGATCAGCCTTCTTTATGGTCCAGCTTTCACTTCCATACATCACTACTGGGGAGACCATAGCTTTAACTATATGGACCTTTGTCAGCAAGGTGATGTCTCTACTTTTTAAGATGCTGTCTAGGTTTGTCATTGCTTTTCTCCCAAGGAGCAGGCGTCTTTTAATTTCATGACTGCTGTCACCATCTGCAGTGATTATGGAGCCCAAGAAAGTAAAATCTCTCACTGCCTCCATTTCTTCCCCTTCTATTTGCCAGGAGGTGATGGGACCAGTGTGTGAAATACCAAACCCTATCTGTAAAGAGGCACCCTAATTTTGATCCAGCGACCCATCTCTGCTTGGGGAAGGGCGCTACACTTGCACAGGAGGGTGGTAGAAGAAAAGCCAACCATTTAAAATATTCCCATTCCTCCTTCGATTCCATCACAAAATTGTAGGTTGGAAGGGACCCCAGGGTCATCTAGCCCAACCCGCTACAACGGAATCACAGCTCGAACCCCCAAAGAGACACTGCCAGTTAATGAGAATGATATTGAGCTGGATGAGGCCAGGGTGAGTAGGAAGAAACCCCAATATTTGTGTGTCTAATTTGGAGAACACCTGGAAGGGAGGACGGATGACAAAAAGCCAAGGGTGTTTTCTTACCCTTGGTGTGGGGTGAGGCCTCCCTGAAGAGGGGCACCATCTCATGTGAGAAGCCTCTGCAATATGAACACAACAAAATGTTCCTTCCCGTGTAACCAGAGCCCAGGGAAAAGCAAGCAACAGAAGACCTTGGCCTCCTGCAGACGCGTTTCAAGTCCCAGGCAGGTAACCAAAGATTGCATTTGTCTCTTGGTGCGGAAAAGCAGGGGACGAGATACAGGGAAAAACCAGTGTGTGTGTTCAAATCAGAGGTGGGGAACCAGTGGCCCTCCAGACCTCTCCTCACTGGTCCCCCTTTGGACCCAGAGCAGTTTTTGCCTGGCTGGGAAAGTGTCCTGGAAGTCAGAAGATCCCTCTTCAGATACAGAGAGAGGGGGGTGTGTGTGTGTGTAGGAATCAGCTGAAAGTACAAGGGAAAAGTTTTATTAATTGCTCTATTTTTGTACGTGGCCCTTAGAAAGTTGTCTAGAAGGAAATGTGGTCCCTGACTGCGAGATCTTGCGAGGGCAGTATATAAATCAGATAATAATAATAATAATAATAATAATAATAATAATAGGTTAATAAAATAGTAATAAAAAGGTTCCTTTCTTCTGCTTCAAACGACTCAAATGGCTTGAAATTCCTGCCCTCTTTTTGGACCAATTGTGTTATCATAATTTATGCAGGTCCAGCTCTGAAGCAGCGATCTCTTGCCAAACCCTAGAGCAGCTTTTCTCAACCTTGGGCCCCCGGCTGTTATTGGACTACAACTCCCATCATCCATAGCTAGCAGGACCAGTGTTCATGGGTGATGGGAGTTGTAGTCCATCAACATCTGGGGACCCAAGGCCAAGAAACACTGCCCTAGAAGATTTGAGCTGAGGGTTTGAAAAACATCAGTCTAATTCTTGCAGTGATGGGATTCCAAGATTCCTCTTGCTTTTAAGATGAGTCAGATGTTCCGGCATTCGTCTCTGACCTTTAAAACACGTCCCAGGACTGGGTTCGGGCTTCCACCACGCCCATCCAGATCCAAAAAGGCGTCTCCCAGCCCTCAAAAGCAGAAAGTGGAAAATAAGCAGCCGCAGATGAGCAGATTGGATCGCTTTAATCTCGGACCATTTTAAAGCCCGCTCCATTTCTTCCTAAGTTTGGAGGGCCCTGAACCAACTAAAGGGAGTTGCAGCAAAGACCTGCTGCAAACAAGGACCGCAGCTGGGTGGGTAGGACACTTGCTTGGCATGCAGAAGGTCTGAGGTTCAATCCCCAGCCCCTCCAGGTCAGGCTTGGGAAGATGAATTTCTAAAACCCTGGAGAGCAGCTACTACTCAGTGTAGACGACCCTGAGATACTGGACCCCTGTGCTAACTCGGTATAAGGTCCTGATCCGATGACCAGGCACCTGCTGTTTCTATGAAGGCAAGCCCTACCATTGGGCAGAATGAGCAGCTGTAAGCTTAGTAGGGGACACAGTACGAAGGATGCCCCCAATATGCCTACTGCCCTCTGGTGGAGGGGAATACCCATCGCAGTGTTCAGTCACCAGCCTGGCCAGGGAGATTTCATACACTGAATTGGGTGTGTGTGCGCCCTTTTGATCTTTGGCCTCTGGTGGGAAAATATAGGTCAAAAGGTAAAGGACCCCTGGATGGTTAAGTCCAGTCAAAGGTGACTATGGGCTTGCGGCACTCATCTTGCTTTCGGGCCAAGGGAGCCGGCGTTTCTCCACGGACAGCTTTCTGGGTCATGTGGCCAGCAGGACTAAACCGCTACTGGCGCACGGAACACCGTGACGGAAACCAGAGCGCACGGAAACGCAATTTACCTTCCCGCAGTAGTGGTACCTATTTATCTACTTGCACTGGTGTGCTTTCGAACTGCTAGGTAGGCAGGAGCTGGGACAGAGTGCAGATTCGAACTGCCAACCTTCTGATCGGCAAGCCCAGGAGGCTCAGTGGTTTAGAGCACAGCGCCACCCGTATCCCTTGTTTGACTATAACCCCAATTCGAAAAAGCAAAACTCACAAAACCCACTGGATAGTGGGCCAGCATGACTAAGCCGCTTCTGGCGAACCAGAGCAGCGCACGGAAACGCCGTTTAGCTTCCCGCCAGAGCGGTACCTATTTATCTCCTTGCACTTTGACGTGCTTTTGAACTGCTAGGTTGGCAGGAGCAGGGACCGAGCAACGGGAGCTCACCCCATCGCGGGGATTCGAACAGCTGACTTTCTGATCGGCAAGCCCTAGGCTCTGTGGTTTAACCCACAGCGCCACCCGCATCCCTTTGGGAAAATATATTAGGGGACTGTCACAGGGCAGGCTCATTAAGAGGCTCCCCGCCATCTGCAAACCTGAAGGGCTGATTTGTGCGTTGAGTGCTTGAATGCAATGCAGGGGGCTAGACTAGATGACTCTAATGGGACCTTCCAACTCTATGATTCTTTCTGTGCCCCGGAGGCTCCTCTGCTGCACACCAGCATCCCTCCCTATGAGTCACCGGGCTGATTCACAACATATTAAAAACAAGCCAACCAGAAATTATACACTGTTTTAAGTGAGATCGGACAGCAGCGACCCCTAGCGTTCAGTAAAGGTACTGCAGGAGCAAAGTAAATAAAAAGTTGCCCACACTGATATATGTTTAAATAAAGTTGCGGTTTCTTTAAAAATAGTTTTTTTTTATTGTCAACAACAACGGGAGAATTAATTCAGGTCACTTCTCGGACAACTAGCAGGAGAAAAAATAAAACCCATAAAAGAGAAACCTTTCTATGGAGACTCTACAAGCTGGTTAAAGTTATACCCTGGACTTTTTTTTAATTAATCCCTTGGAACAACAACAAAAAACAAACAAACCCCACAGTCATTCTATCTCCCCCTTCCCTCCAGGAAAAAAAAAGCAAATTGAAAGAAACTGAGACAGAACCTTAAGAGTTAATGAGCTCGCATAGAATAAACGAAACTAAAAACCGTTGTCCAATGAGGCTCTTTTTTTTGCTGTGCAAAATGTATTGTTGTGCATATTTCTATATATATATATATATTTATATATTTTTTCAAACGTTTATGCCTCTAGAGCAATGACAGTACTTGGGTTCATTCCAACCGCTTTAACCTATTTGGGGAGGGGGGGCGGAAAGGGAGGGACAGTCCAGAGGATGTCCTAGCATAAGAAATGTCAAAAGCCACAGCTTGGGGTTCACCCCATTTCCTTCCTTTGCACAAGAAAGTGTGCAAAACTGTGTTTTTGTTTTAATTTCCAACCCCAATCCTCCCACCCCCCAAAAACCCAGTGGGAAACATGTGGCCGAGGTGTGGCAGAACCACTCCTGACCACTAGAGGGGGCTGGACCACAATCAAACATACCATTCTTCTCCCCACTTTACAAACATACACAAACACAAACCCCTAACCTCACCGAAATGTATGTTTCTGAAATGAAAAGGTGCTTGGAAATTCAGACTGCTTAACTCTCCCTCTTGCAACCTAGCCTTTTCTAAAAAGTAAAAAGGGGGGTGGAGTGTACCATAAAACATTTTCATTGTAGTTTTCAGCTGCCTAGGGAATGGGTTTTTTTTGGGGGGGGGAAACAGAAGGGGTTTGCATCAGTTCAATAAATAAGACGTCTTTTTTAAAATATTCCCTTTTAAGGAATGAAGCATGAGGTTGGGGTGGGAAGAGATGTTCGCCATAAAGGAAACAAGGTGGAATATTAGAAAAAATTGATTTATTTTTTAAAAAACTAAAGCCAGCCAGACACAGCTACACTGATTCAGAGTCCCCCCGAGTATATGAAAGTTAATTAATTAGAATTCATCGTGACGTCATTAAGGCAGGAAGGGCTTTGGAATTTGGACGTTAGTTTGCACTCTGGTGTTCACAGAAGAAAAATACTTTTTTTTAAAGAAAAAGCAAACTCAAAAATGCTTCAAGTTCATTTCTCCCCTTGATTTTTTAAAAAGTACTACAACCTAATTGCAGAAATAATAATATTACTAATGAAATAAGACCAGACACAAGAGACCAGTGACTAACCATCGAGGCGAGATCTGAAGAAATTATAATTTGTGAGTTAGAGGGGGGGGGGGAGGGCTATAAGTCACTTGTTAGCCCTACTCAGAGTAGACCCCTAGAAATTCATCCATGTCGACTAGTTTAGGTCCATTAATTTCAAGAGGGTCTAAGCAAGGATTTGGGTGAGCGCCAACCATGCTGTCCTAACGCAAAGAGAAAATGAATGGACATTACCCTAACTTTGGCCTTAAGATACTCTAGCAGATGGGAAACATGGGTTACTACTTAAAGCAAAAAATGACTTTTTGGGTGGTTTTTTTTCCCAAATGACTGCAAAACCTTCCACGATCCAATCTTCCAACCTCGCCATTCCCCTTTTCCAGACTACATACATACACGTATCCACCTTTAATGGCCTGATTCATTCAGGAGGGTTTTCGTTTTAAATACAGATCAAACTTTGCAAAAAAAAAACCACCACAACCCTCAGTGAATGCTCCCGCTGGCCAACCCCAATGCACTCAAAGGTGGGCAGAAAGATGACAATAGATGCAACTGTTTCATCCAAAAGCCCCAGGAAAATATGCTTGGGCAGGCAGAGGCCAACTCGGCCCTCCAGATGTTTTGGGACTACAACTCCCATCATCCGTAGCTATCAGGACCAGCGGTCAGGGATGATGGGAGTTGTAGTCCCAAAACAGCTGGAGGGCCAAGTTTGCCTATGCCTGTACTTGGGAGGTATTTTAGGGGGTGGAAAAGAACATGTACACACACACACACACACACACAGCCCACACGTGTGACGAGCAAAGAAAATTTGGCTACTTCCCAGCTAGGCAGCGATGCCTTTCATTTTAACTATGTGCGTTATGGAGCTGTGAGCACAACTCAAGGCGGCCTTCCTTCAAAGGGTTTCTTGTCATTTAGCAAAGGATGCTTCAGGCATCGAAAATTACCTGGGGTGCTCTCTCTCTCTCTCCAGGTGTTTCCACTGAAGAGGCCCTGGCTTGCCACCCACGCCCTAGGCAGGCTAAACCCCCCAGGAACAAGCACCCAAACTGTTTACCCCCTGGAATAAAGGGAGGAGGAATGTCCGCGGCCCTTGACTCCCGTCAGCTGGCATAACAGAGGGCCAGAGGGTTATGCTGGCTGGAGGGATGAAGGCTCCCAATCCTTCTCCTGACCATGGAGTGATATCTTTTTGCCTCGCAGGTGCCGCTGAACTACGACTCCCATGGGAGTCGTAGTTCAGCCACGTTCGGAAAGCCAAAGGCTCCTCATTTTTGCACAGGCCTTTGCCTCTTCCATCGGAGTGGAGAACTGCACACAGGGAGTCCTGCGCCCCAATAATTCATCTGCTATTGCTCCCCACTCCAGTCTTCTGCTAGCTCCACGCAGCCACCCCTGACCAGGGAAAAATACCCCATCCGCTCTGAAATCCGTGAAGCTTTGAAATTGCCGGTGGACACCACTGTAGCGAAGGGGACGGGTAGGGCAGAGCCTTTGTCCCACATGGGGTTGGAAGAGGACTTTCCCCGCAAAATCGCACTCCCCTTTCATACGAGGCAGCCGAGCCCTCAACAGGCTGAGCCCGGCGGTCTGTATGGGCACAATCCTTTTTGCCCCATCCTCTAAACAAAGCCATGAAGACAACCACCCCTTTCCCGTTAAGGCAGCGCAAAGGAGCTAAGAAAACTACCCGAGTTTTGTTTCGTCTTTTGCCCAGTCGTTCTGATTTTTTTAAGTACACTTGCATTATCCCTCTTGGTCCTACCCGGGCAGCTTTGGAGTGGAAAAAGAATTGCATAGTTTCGGAGACTCGTCAGCGAGTCAGACGTACCTCCCCACCGGATCTTGCCCGCTTTACGGCCCCCCGTTCTTCGCTTTTCGCGGGCTCCCGCTCAAACCCGTGTCAGACGAAGGTTTCCAAGGCCGTTCCCTACCCTGGGGAAATAAACATTCGTATTGCAGCAGCGACGGTAGGTGTAGCAGGGGGAAGGAATTTTCTAAAAACGCCATAGATTTCCAGGGGCTTGGGGGGGGGCGAGATTTGTGGGGAAACGGGGGGGTCATTTCCCTCCCCCGCCCCCCCAAAACAAGAAAAATATAGTGTATAGTTAGTTCTCTGTTTTTTACATCCCTCCCACCTGCTACCCGCCCCTCCCCTCTAACACAAATGTAGAGCCCTGTTAAAAATATATATCTATAATTCTTTAGTATTTTTACTCGTCATTCCCACAGTCAAAGTATCGGCTCGGCAAAAGAGAGCCAGATTATTTCTACTCAGCAGAACAGAGGTAGTCTAGGAGAAAAACAAAACGAAAGAAAACAAAACAGCTCGTGCGGGAAGGAAGTGATTCTCTGCAGGTAAGAGAATTTGTACACACACGTGTAACCGGCGTTGCAGAGGGGCCGTGGAAATCGAACCACAGTGATGCCCAGATAACTCTCTTTGTCCTATCTCTCCCGGTTTTCAAGTTGTTTGCAGAGGTTTATTGCTCTTAACAAAGTCCCCACCAATTCAAGTTCTGGTTTCTATTCCCACCCCCACCCCCAAAGTAGGTATGACCATCTAAAGAACAGGCTTGGGTTTTGTTTTTTTGCTTTTTTGCACAGTAAAAAACTCTCTCTCAATCACACGCACACACACACACACTCAGTATTGCGACTTGATGGTTCCCTCCCTCCGCCCACCCCACCCGCAGCTCCCTACAAGAGAGGGTCCTTTTGTTTGTTTGTTTTAATAAAAAATATATCTTTTTAAAAAGAATATCCCAAGCCCAACTCCTCTAAAAAGGCTTCGAAGCTAGCTGCGACAGACCGGAGAGGATTGCGGGAAGGAGAGGGGCAGAATCTGGACAAGGCGGAGGTTAACAGGAGTGTTGAGACTCAAGAGAAAGGGGGAAAGGTCCTTTTTCCGACTTAAAAAAAAAAAGCCATGTTTTAAGGGGTGGGAGAAAAACCTAAAAATATTTTTTAAAAAAATCAAAAAAGCTGGTTAATATTACTTAATAAAAAGAGGAAAAAAAGATTTCAAACTTGGGGGGAAATGTAGGGATGGCGGGTTTAATCCCTTTGAAATGAAAAAAGGAAAATCACGTTGGGGGCAGATAGAGAGAAAGCCCCCCCCCCTTCAACACCATGTATGTTTTACCCTTGGAATTCAAAGCTTTGGTCTAGAAGTTCTGCTCGGTTTGACGGCTTCCGACCTGCAAAACTCAAACCTTCCCGATTCCTCCAACCCTTTGCCAATCCCTTCTGTTCTCCAACAGTGTTTTGCTGCCCTCTCTCCATGCTCCCTCCCTCCCCGGAAGCGAGGGGGGGTGTCTCGCCTTCTGCCCCACGCCCCCCACCAGCAGCTTGCCGCCCCCTCTGACACCGGCCAGCCCTTCTCCTCGACGAGGCGGGGAAGGAGGGGCGAGGGGAAGGGAGGACGCGTTATTGCATTGCCCACGGATCGCGTGGGTCCGGGGGGCCAGGAAGTCCGGTGCCCGGCCCTTCAGAACCTGTGTATCAAGGCCTCCCTCTCTCTTTCCTTGCGCTTCAGCTCCTCCTTGTAGCAGCAGGAGCAGTAGTTCCCGGTCTCCGGGTGCCCGTAAAAGCTGCAGTTCGGCTGTTTGCATTTCGTCTGCTGGAGGTTGTAGAGCAGCCGGGCTTTGCTGCGCTCGCTGCCTTTGGGAGAGCAGCCACCCGCCTCCGCGTACTCCCGGAAGCCGTTGGCGGGCAGGCCCGGGCAGGGAGAGGGGTCGCAGTCTGCCCCCACGTAGCCGGGGGGCGTGTCCGTCTCGGTGGGAGAGAAGCGCCCGCCCAGGTGGGAAGGGCTGGTCTGGTACGGGTGAGGGCGGCCCGGCGGGCAGTGCCTGGGCAAGGTGGCATAGGGCGGCAGGGGGCTGCAGGGTCCACCGGCAAGCTGCCTCCGGCTCTCTTGGTAGCTGGGCGGATGGGAGCCCTCCACGCCGCCCGTCATGGAGGGGCGAGGGATGGTGAAGACCCCTGAGTAGCTGGAGGGGAAGCCGGCCATCTTAGCCCCCACGGCAGCCAGGTCGGGACTCTGGAGCCCGTACGGAGGGAGCCCTGGAGGGTACGCCGTGCCCAGCAAGCCCTCCTCGCCTTTGAGGGGGTTGCCGTCCGAGTCCGGCCTCTTGGCCGCCACCCCGCCGCTGCCCAGCGCCGCGGCCGCCTTCCTCTCCGCCTCCTTCTGCTTCTGCTCCGCCGAAAAGCGCTCCTCGGCATCCGAGAGGTACCGCTGGATCATCTCCTCCTGAAACGGGTGCCGGTGGCTGGTCTTGAGCTGCCCGGCGAAGATGAACTTCCGCTCCCCTTGCATGGCGGCCCGCAGGATGCTCAAACTCAGCCGGACGTCGCTGCTGTACTTGCAGCCGTCCGGCGGCTTCTCGGCGGTCACCTTGCCCGCGTAGGGCTTCTCGGGCGGAGTGGCCGAGTCGCTGGACAACGCCTCGTCCTTGCTGCCTTTCCTCACCTTGACAGAGCCCTTCTTCTTCTTCTTCTCCAGGGTCTCGCCCCCTTGCCCGTTGCTAACGCCCCCCTTGACCGTCCGGCTGTGCATCAGGCCCCCCATGTTCTTCTTCAGCTTGCTGCCCAGCGTCTTGCCAAAGCTGCCGAGCTTGTTGGCCACCGAGTCGGCCCGCTTCTTCTCCTTGTCCTTCTCCCGCTCCTTCTTGGTCTTCTCCTTCTCCTTGCTGCTGCTGCTCTTGCTGCCTCCGCTGTTGCTGGCAGAGCTGCTGCAGACGGACTCCTTGTCCGAGTCGCCCGAGTCGGCCGCCGACCGGGCATCGTCCCCCGCGGAAGCGGTCGGCGACTCGGGCTGCGCGAGAGGCGCCTGGGGAAAGTGGGGCAGGAGAGAGAGAGAGAGAGAGAGAGAGAGAGAGAGAGAGAGAGGTAAGCGGAGTTAGCAAGGGTCTGCTTTGCCCTATTTTGGGCTGGGGGGGTCTTCTGTTAGCCCCTGGTGTTCTCTCCACGCCAGAGCAGAACAGGAATCGGATTATAGGACACCTGCCCTCCTTGGAAACTGGAAGGTGGTTTCCCTTACCTGCATTTCGCAAGGCAACGTGATCCACTTTACATTCATGTAGCTGTGCAGTAGGTGCAGCTTGGCTTCCAGCGAGAGCGTCACACTAAACAAAAACAACGGGGGAAAGATGCGAGGCAGAGTCAAAATTCAGAGCTGTAGGATCTCTCCAACACTCCCGAGTAGCTGACTTTCTCCCACAAGTTGAAACCATGGTGCTCAGAAACCATTAAGTGGGAGATGTTCCGGGCCGGAGGTAAATTCCAGATTCCAAGATGGCCGTCTCTCCTTCCTCAAAAAGGCAGCCACTCTCCATGCCTGCCACCTCCCTCCACTCCACCGATCAATCCTCCTCCTGAACCCACCCAGCACAAGCTCACCCCTTAAGAACGTAGGCGCTGCTGGATGAGACCCTGGATGAGACCACGTCTGCCCCAGACTGTGTTGTCTTGAGTCCTTCCAACCTCCCAAGCGGCTCCCCTTTGTTGTCCCCAAACCGACCCCTTCCCACTCACCTGGCCAGCCGGACATTGTCGTTGTCGTCCTTACCCCACTCCCAGTCTTTCCCGGGGTCCACAGCAAAGTGCACTGGGAGCAGCTTGTGCTCAGAGTCGGTGAGCGGAATCACAGCTGTGGCGGAAAAAAGGAATAGCTCTTTCAGATGCCAGGAAAGGCAACAGCCTGGGGGGCTGCAGGAAAGCAAAGGGGAGAGGCAGCCAGGCAAAGGCTGAGAAGCTCGCCCCTTTCAGAAGCAGACCCAGCACCATCCAGCTCGAGGGAGACTCGGGTTCAAAAGAAGGTTGGCAGGGGCTGGGATGGAGTTACTGACTCAGTTGAGGTTAAGGTTGTGCTTTTGGGACTGTGTGGGTCCCCAGATGTTGTTGGACTACAACTCCCATCATTCCTAGCCAGCATGACCAGTGGTCAGGGATGATGGGAGTTGTAGTCCAACAACATCTGGGGACCCACAGGTTGAGAACCGCTGGTTTAGAGGAACGGAAGGTAGGAGGCAACATGATAGGAGTTGCTAAAATAACTTGCTGGAGAAGTGATTTCCTCTCACTCTCATCAAACTTGAGACTTGATGGCAAATGGTGGCCATCTTCCTGTGGCAGTGAGTTCCACAGCTTAACTCTGTGCTGCGTGGGAAAATCCTTTCTTACCTGTCCTGAATCTCCCAATATTCAGCTTCACCGGATGCCCACGACTTCCGGCGTCGTGCGAGAGGGAGGGAAATTTTTTATCCTTCCGCTTTCTCGGCCGGGCATAAGCAGAACTTAGAAGTGCTGCCCCTCTGCACGTACCTTGTTCCTTGGGAGGTTCTTTCTGCTCCATGGATACCAGGGCAGAGAAGTGGGCCTGGTCGTAGGCTAGGACCAGGGGAGAGCGGTGGCACTTGTTGGCGGGGACCTCCAAGGGCAGATAAATGCCGCCAAAGGGGATAGGAGCGAATGCTAAGAGAGAGAGAGAGAGAGAGAGAAGTGAGAAGGAACTGAGCACCCTGCTGATGATACAGAAATACCCCTCAGTTGTGGGCTGCAAGAGTTAACTTTCAGTCCACTGCAACGCTAGCGGGAACTCAAAGCAACCCTTGGCAGCAGCGTCTGCCCGATGCCCCTCTGCACGAGTGCCTGCTCTGGGTCTTGCCTCCTTCCAAGAAGTCCTCCACTGGGGATTGGGGGTCCCTCTATGTACGGGACACGACTGGAGCCGTCCCCTCATTCCCGATCTGGTTTGACCCCCACCCCTGTGGAAGAAGTTGCCCGCCGCCCAGCCTCCCTCTTCAGTGGATGGAGGAGACGTCTGCCCTCTGGGTTTGCTCCGCAGCCACTGCTCCTACCTTCCCCTCCAGAGTCTCGCAGCATGGTGTCCGCCACGACCACGATGGGCCTCTTGAGCACGTGGGCCAGGACAAAGACGTGGAACTCTTCCAGGCTCTCGTACACAGGCTCCTCGGAGCCTTCCACACTGTGGGGTAGCGGGGGAGAAAAGGGGAGAGCTGTCAGACGTTTTGACTCGGGAGTGTTTGGCAGCACCCATAAATGCAAACAGTTTCAGCTGGGGGAAATGGGGAGCGAAGACCAGAAAGGGGGCAGCACGGATTGGAGAGCCTCAGCCACTGGCATGGCCAACAGCCAGGGTAAATGACGAGAGTTGGACCACAGGGACGTCTGAGAGGCCACAGGCACCCTCAACCTCTACTCTAAACTAGCAGCCTCCGAAGCGCTGTTCTGCTCATTAACTTATTTATGTAATAAAATTTATACAGCGTTTGATTGTAACAGACCTCAAAGCAGTTTACAAAAAAGGAATAAAGCAAAATGATCGCTAAGAACAATTAAAAACAACAATTTAAGTCTTTTGAAAAGTTTAAATTGTTATTGCACAGCAGATGAAGACTCACATCCATTTCCTAAACACCTGAGTAGGCTTGTCTAAAGAAAAATCTTCTCAGCAGCTGCTGAAAAGTGTACAGTGAAGAAACCTGCCTGATATCAACAGGCAGGGAGTTCCAAAGTGTAGGCGATCTGATCAGATTTTAGAGACCCGATGCCAGACCAATGCATTTCAAACAACCTGTTTAGAGCAGTGTTCCGCAGAGATGGATCTCCAGCTGCTGTTGGACTCCAACCCCCATCATCCCTGACCACTGGTCCTTCCAGCTAGGGATGATGGGAGTTGTAGTCCAACAACTGGAGACCTAAGTATGAGAAACACTGATTTAGAGTTTGCCTCCACTGCTGTCCAGCCTGTAAGGCTGTAAACCATGGACATGAGGAAGCAGGTGGACTTCCAGATGTTGTTGCCGGACTCCAACTCCCATCATCCTCCCCAACCTGAGCCGTGAAGGCTCTCAAAAGGTTGTCAATCGGGTTCCCACTATCAGTTTGCATTTCGTTTTCTCACTGATGCAACTGGATTTCTTATGGACAGTGCCCATCTTCAATGTATTGGATTTGTGACCATTGAGCTCATTTGCCTTCAGTAGCAGTAATGCTCTGCTGGATGAAATACAATTGCCTCTGATCTATTTTGGGGGGAATCCTGCAATGTGTTTTAAGTTTCTACTCTGCTACGTTGGAATCTACTCTGGATCATTATTGAGTAGGATTTCATGGCATCCACTCCCACTTGAATGTGGCTCTTGCAAGACAGACACATTCCTGCTCTAGCAGAGAAGCGCAGCTATTGTATACCCTTGACCGAAAAACGGTACATTCCTTCTATCTGGGATGGTCGTCCTCTTCCACCGAGCGCACAGCTTCGGGAGGGATGCACATGGAGGGGTGAGGGAAGAAGGGGACACCCGCCTAGCCAAACGGAACAGCCGAATCAACCCTGGCGATCAATGGGGTGACAGATGTTGCAGCCAAATCGCCCTCACATCCATTCCTGCTCGGAATTTAATCTCAATTATTTACAATTTTTGTTTAATCCACAAGAAAGAAGGGCTTTTTGGCTGGCTAGGTTCAATTCTAATCCTTCTAACCACCTTTGGGGTAGGTTTGCGGGTTTGGCAGAAGATAGGATCTGCCCATGCGATGCCCACCTGGTGGAAACACCAGCTTACATGGCCCTTAAATGCAAAATATATGAGGATCTCCACCGACAGTTTCTAGACCATCTATGTATTCCAACATGGAAACCAGCAACAGAGGTCATGCACTTCTTATTACAAGGGAGAGACCAGGAGCTCACCAAGACAGTAGCTAAGTTCCTCTATTTGATTTTCTTGTTTCCAAAGTATGCTATAGGATCCTGCCCTTGCTGGAAACCCACAGAGATGAGGCGGATTGCTCGCCTCTTCTGCCCTTTGGCGGGTGACTGTGCTGTTGGGGTGGTGACGAGATCGCACTGGCCTATCTATTTTAAATGTATTCTGAATGTTCTTAAGGTAAGGGTAAAGGAACCCCTGAGCATTAGGTCCAGTCGTGACTGACTCTGGGGTTGCGGCACTCATCTCGCTTTACTGTCCAAGGGAGCCGGCGTACAACTTCCGGGTCATGTGGCCAGCATGACTAAGCCGCTTCTAGCGAACACCGTTTACCTTCCCGCTGGAGCGGTACCTATTTATCTACTTGCACTTTGACGTGCTTTCGAACTGCTAGGTTGGCAGGAGCAGGGACCGAGCAATGGGAGCTCACCCCGTCGTGGGGATTCGAACCGCCGACCTTCTGATCGGCAAGTCCTAGGCTCTGTGGTTTAACCCGCAGCACCACCTGCTTATGTGATGCCAATAAAGGTTACTTGACTTGACATTCCTGCTCCTGCATTATGGACCACCTGAAGTTTCTGGGGAGCCTTCAAGGGCAGAGCCCAGTGTAACAATCTTGGGTGTGATCTGTGGGGAGCAGGGAAATACCACTCACCCTCCGCAGCTCCCTCCATTTGTGCCGTAGTGCATGCGTGGCTCGCTGGAAGCCAGTTTGATCAGCTCATTCCACTCCTTTTGCCATTCCTCTTCTGTGTAAACGAGGCCGGACTAAGGTGGTTGGAAGACGAACGGGAAGAGAGGGAAAACAAATATGTAAATTGAGGCTTCTCTCCACACTGCAAGGATACTTTCAATAAGTTTGCAGGGCATGGGGCGCTCCTGGAGGTTAACCGTCCAGGGCTTCTTGAATGCTCAGAGAGGATCCGGTGCTAAAACTAGCCTGGTGTGGACATGGCCGGCGCTTGGAAAACAAGGTGCAACTTAGGTTAGCTTTCATCAGCGAGGCTACTGTCACGTACGCCTGGCCACAAAACTGGTAAGAGCCAGTTAAGGGGGAATGTTAAGAGTTAAAAACCAGGTGAGGTACAAGGAGGGCTCTGCACATCCAGTAAAAAATAATAATACAGTGGTACCTCAGGTTACATACGCTTCAGGTTACAGACTCCGCTAACCCAGATATAGTGGTCCAGGTTAAGAACTTTGCTTCAGGATGAGAACAGAAAACGTGCGGCGGCGGCAGGAGGCCCCATTAGCTAAAGTGGTGCTTCAGGTTAAGAACAGTTTCAGGTTAAGTACGGACCTCCGGAATGAATTAAGTACTTAACCTGAGGTACCACTGTAATGGGTTGAGTAAGTGTTTCAAGAGTCCCATGGACGGCAAGAAGATCATAGAATCATAGAGTTGGAAGAGACTACAAGGGCCATCGAGTCCAACCCCCTACCAAGCAGGAAACACCATCAGAGCACTCCTGACATATGGTTGTCAAGCCTCTGCTTAAAGACCTCCAAAGAAGGAGACTCTCCATTCTGAAGGAAATCAGCCCTGAGTGCTCACTGGAAGGACAGATTCTGAAGCTGAGGCTCCAGTACTTTGGCCAACTCATGAGAAGAGAAGACTCCCTGGAAAATACCCTGATGTTGGGAAAGATGGAGGGCACAAGGAGAAGGGGATGACAGAGGACGAGATGGTGGGACAGTGTTCTCGAAGCTACCAGCATGAGTTTGACCAAACAGCGGGAGGCAGTGGAAGACAGGAATGCCTGGCGTGCTCTGGTCCAGGGGGTCACGAAGAGTCGGACACGACTAAACGACTAAACAACAACAAAGTATTTCAAAGGACTGTGTTTGGGTGAGATATGGTGGGGTAACAGGGTGGCAAGTGGTGGTTGGGGGGAGGGAAAGCAGCTCAGATGACGTGCATTTTGGCTGTGTAATGTGTTTTATAATGGAAATACAGTCGTACCTTGTATCCCGAACGCCGCAAACCCAGAAATGAGTGTTCCGGTTTGCGAACGTTCTTTGGAACCCAAATGTCCGATGCGGCTTCTGATTGGCTGCAGGAGCTTCCTGCAGCCAATTGGAAGCCACGCCTTGCTTTCCGAACGTTTTGGAAGTCGAACGGACTTCTGGAACGGATTCCGTTTGACTTGCGGGTACAACTGTACTCCTGCAGACTCTCTGGACTCTGACCTGTAACGTGTTGCTGAATAGAGTCTGGCCGACTGGGGATTCGGTGCAAACCTCTGTCCTGAACCACCCCCACTCCCAGGGAACTTTCTCCCACAATAAGGAAGACATAAAAAACCGCTTGGGATTTGTGGACATCCCTATGTTCCAAGACATAGGAAAGGGATCCTGGGCTGAGCCTCAGCCCCAAGGAAGTGCCGGGTGCCAGTGGAGGCTGGTCGTAAGGAAACCCCAAGGGCCCTGCAGGATCAGGCCTCACCTCTTTGTTCTGCTGCGTCTGCTGCCACCTCCACCGCCGCTTGAGGGCCTCCCTTTCCATCCCTTTGTCCATGAGGGCGTAGAGGGCTTTGCGGAGCATCAGATCTCGGTCGTGAAAACCCCACATGCCTACAGGGAGGAAAGAGAGATTTTTTTAAAAACCAAACAAGTGGTACTTAAGCTGATGCAATGAATTCATTAATTCCACCCACCCCTTGCCTTCCATGAGGATAAATATCCCCCCCCCCCAAAAAAATTAAGGAACAATAATGCTGGAAATGTTTAATGCAACTATTCTTTACCTGGATTTTTAATATTTTAACCCACATGCAACGGCACTCACTCTACCTGCCTATTTCATAGTTTTGTTTGCCATCTTTTATCATTTTCATCTGTTGCTATAATTGTTCTCTCCGTTTCATATGCCTTATAAGATGAGGGGGGAAATCTTTTACCCTCCAATATTGCGGAAAATGTTAGCTGTCAATCATAATGCTCTTTTGAAAATATGTAGGTTTATATTTATTTATTCATTGTTTCCCCTCCCCCACAAAAAAGGATGTCTCAAGACTTGTAAATTCATAAAATACGAATAGGTGGACAAATGTAACACTACAAAGCATTAAGCACGAACAATACTGGGTAGAATCTACACACATATAAAAAAGGCTGTGAAATTGCCTTTTTTAAAAAAAAGTTTTGAAAAATGCAATGAATTTTGCATAGCTCACTGCTGCCATCTAGTGTCACATTTGTATACTGCACTTTACAACATATGTAAAATATTTTATTTGCAGCTGTATAGTTGAGTCCCTGGAAAATGTTCATTTTCTCTATTATGATGGCAAATGTCCCTCAGAAACATTATGACGATACTGGAAGTGTTGATTGTCAGTCATATACTATGCCCTGGGATCTAGGTATGATAGAGAACCTACCTATACATATACAGTGTGTAACGTAAATAAATATTTGCATGTACAGTGGTACCTCGGGTTACATACGCTTCAGGTTAAATATGCTTCAGGTTACAGACTCCGCTAACCTAGAAATAGTGCTTCAGGTTAAGAACTTTGCTTCAGGATGAGAATAGAAATCATGCTCCGGCGGCGCGGCAGCAGCAGGAGGCCCCATTAGCTAAAGTGGTGCTTCAGGTTAAGAACAGTTTCAGGTTAAGTACAGACCTCCGGAACGAATTAAGTACTTAACCCGAGGTACCACTGTTTACACACACAGGCACACACATTCGTACATGTACATATAAACATTTATAGATATGCTAACACACACAGTTAAGCTGTGTATTAGGAGATCTGAAGTGGCCTCTCAATATCTCATTCTATGCCAGGAGTCAGCGACCTTTTAGAATTTTGAGGAAGGTGCCGTGGACGCCGGGCACAAAATGGCAGCCAAGAGGGCATGGCATTGCACAAATGGCTGCTGCGTGGCGTGTGCAAGTGAGGCTCAGCCTGGGCAGAAGGGATCTAAGCAAGAAGACTATTGTGTGCACTGTGGATTTCTTCCTGGGGGATATTTACTGGAATATTCTGTGGGCTCTGTGGAAGGCTCAGGGACGCCGTGGCTTTTAAAATGCATTGTGTCGGGGGCAAGGAGGTCTTACCTAGCGATGCAGCGTGGAGCAGGCAGTTCCCGTCGCCCGTCGTGGCTAAGGGGAGCAACCGCTGGCAGCTGGGATCGACATTGGCCCACCAGTTCAGACGACCTGGTCAAAAAGGTGAACAAACAGGAAGCAGTTATTTCGTGCTTTTCAAAGTTCCGGGCATTTTTGAGCCCAGCCTCTCTCTCTCTACAAGCCTCATGCCAACATCGATCCACAGTTCACCAGACATTTGACGCACCAGGAGACCAGTTTTTTGCTTTGTTAGTTTCATAAAATTTACACACCACTAAAAAAAACCTCAAAGCGATTTACAAGAGATAAGGCAGTAAAATCAAGAAAGGTAAATGTCTGAGGAGCACCCAACCCCATCGCTGGATGGAAGAGGGCCCCAAAACAGCAGAAGAGATGAAACCATATCTGAGGGGAAGCTGGAACAGTTGTGGGAACAGCAAAAAGGGTTCCAGAGATTGCGCCCCCTTTCTTGCCACTCAGAGGGGAAAATGTCTGCAGAGTATTTGGAGGCGGGGAATTGGAGCAGGCCCACATCCCTGCCTTCCCGAGGAATAACAGCAGGTTATGTCACAGGACGGCACACCTTGCGGAAATATTCTGCCTCGCAGGGCCTCTCAAACGTCCCCGGGGGAGAAGGAACGAGGGAGCCACCTGAACGCGTCTCCAGGCTGGTCAGGGCCTGGCTTGGCTGAAGATCGGTTTTTCCTGATATACCTCTTAAAACAACAACAACCTACAATTAAACCTGAAAGGAGGGGTGTCAGTGAATGCTAATGGGGCGAACGAAAGGAAAATGCGACCTGAGAGCCACAGGAGCTGTGACAAAGTAGGTTTTGTGGTCCAATTTCCCAACATCCACCCCCCGCCCCCCAAATTCAAAGCGGCAGCTATCTGCAAGGAGGGATCGGGACAATATATTTATTTATAACAATGGACTGTTCTTCCCTTCAATCCAGATAAGACTCTCCGGCTGCAATTCTGCAATATATGATAGGATATAAATATATATATGAATTAAGAGCCAGTGTGGTATCAGACTAGGATATGGGAGATCACGGTTCAAATCCCCACCCAGCCATGAAGCTCATGGGGTGTGATCTTGGGGGCTGGTCACCACCTCTCAGCCTACTTCACAGGACTGTTGTGGGGATAAAGTGAGGAGCAGGAGGAGAACCAGCCACACCACACTGGGAGGAAAAAGTGCTATATAAATGTAATCAATAAATAATAAAAGGTAAAGGTGAAGGACCCCTGGATGGTTAAGTCCAGTCAAAGGCGACTATGGGATTGTGGCGCTCATCTTGCTTTCAGGTCGAGGGAGCTTGCGTTTGTCCACAGACAGATTCCCGGGTCATGTGGCCAGCATGTCTAAACCGCTACTGGCGAACGGAGGACCGTGACAGGTGCCAGAGCGCACGGAAATGCCGTTTACCTTCCCACCACTGTGGTACCTATTTATCTACTTGCACTGGTGTGCTTTCGAACTGCTAGGTTGGCAGGAGCTGGGACAGAGCAATGGGAGGGAGCTCCCTCCGTCGCGGGGATTCGAACTGCCGACCTTCTGATCAGCAAGCCCAAGAGGCTGAGTGGTTTAGACCACAGTGCCACCCGGTATTGGATTTGTGACCATTATGCTTATTTGCCTTCAGTAGCAGTAAATCTCTGCTGTATGAAATCCAATTGCCTCTGGTCTATTTATTGGGAATCCTGCAACGTGTTGAAGTTTTTACTGTGCTGACTATATGCTGGAGTTCTGCTCTGGATCAATATTGAGTAGAATTCCAATGACAGGCATCACCTCATCGCTTCTGCGGCCAGGCCAGCCGGGCAATCCTTCCCCATGCTCTAGCGCTAAGCCTGGTCTTCAGAGGGGAAAGGGCACCCAGGGAAGTTTACGTCCTGAGCAACCGCCGCCCAAGAAAACAGCCATGGCGCAGTGTTGACATCACGGGCACTTACCCGCCTGCTCCAGCGCCACCAGCATCGACTGCTCGATGAGATCGCGCTCGATGAAGCACCGGAACTCCTCGTTGTAGACAGTCAGGTCGGGAAGCTGGAAGGTGCAGATGGGCATCTCTGGGAGGTGCTCCCCGCTGCCGCCGACCCCCCCGCCGCTGCCCCCGCCCCCGTTGCTGGAGACGTGAGAGCGAGCCATGGAGACGATGGTGGAGCTGGCATGAGAGATGCCGCGAGACAGGCGCTTCTCTGAAAAGAGAAAGGGGAGCCATTATTTCATCAACACAGGCTTTCTGAATGCAACACATTCCCAGGAAACCGTTCGCTAGGTCGAGTGTTCACATGGAGAGCCGGTGGTCTCTATTATCCCCTGTGGGACCATTTCTAATTGGGGATTTGCTCGATCTCTGCCCTGCCCTGCTCCCTCCATGGTTTCTTCCCAAAATGGCTGCAGCCAACCAGCAAAACGAGAAACGAAGCAAAAACTGATTTGTCCGATCTCTCTCCCTCCCTGCGTGGTTCATGCCTGAAAATGGCTGCCACCAACCAGCCAACTCCAAGGAAGGAAGGAAGGAAGTGGGCCAGTTCCGGCCGTTTGGATATTTGAATATGTGTTGTGCATAGAGAGGTTTGTGTTTGGATAAGTGGATTTTCATACAGCGAAGGTTTGGAAAGCGGGACCTGCATGTATTATGATGTATTGAATTTATTCCCACCCTCCATGGGGGCGGAAGAATTTACCAGCAGTTTAAAATTAAATATTAGAAAGAGTTTAAGACAAATCACAGTCATGGGAATAGGGCTGGGTCCTGAAAACATACGTATCTCAGGTGCCAAAGGCCAGGATAAACAGGAGCATACAACAGAAACCATGTTAACGAAGGAAGGGTAAAAGACAGGACTGCATGGTAAAACTACAGACCAGACTCCTCCCAGAGTAGGCAGCGATGGGCACCATCTTAAAGGTAAAGGGACCCCTGACCATTAGGTCCAGTCGTGGCTGACTCTGGGGTTGTGGCACTCATTTCGCTTTATTGGCTGAGGGAGCCGGCGTACAGCTTCCAGGTCATGTGGCCAGCAGGACTAAGCCGCTTCTGGCGAACCACAGCAGCACACGGAAACGCCGTTTCCCTTCCTGCCGGAGTGCTACCTATTTATCTACTTGCACTCTGAGGTGCTTTTGAACTGTTAGGTTGGTAGGAGCAGGGACCGACCAATGGGAGCTCACCCCGTCACGGGGATTCAAACCGCCGACCTCCTGATCGGCAAGTCCTAGGCTCTGTGGTTTAACCCACAGCGCCACCCGCGTCCGGGGCACCATCTTAGATGTCTTTAAAAGAGGACTGGACAAACTGGTGGAGGATGAGCCTATCAGTGGCTCTGCTTTGCCTCCACGGTCAGAGGCAGCAATGTTCCTGAATACTAGTTGCTGGAAACTGCAAGGAGGAGAGAGGTCTCTTGTGCTCAAATCCTGCTTGCAGGTTCCCCCCCAGGCTGGCCACTGTGGGAAGAGGATGCTAGACAAGATCCACCACACTTCTAGTTTTTTTCAGCACCGCAAAGCCACGTACAGCTGGCTTATTCGCAAGTGGAGTCACTGCTGGAGCTGGACTCTTGGGTCCATCAAGCTCAGGACTGTCAACTCTGACTGGCAGTCACTGAGGACTGAATCGGGAACCTTCTGCAACCATGCTGACACTCTCTACGCACTGAACTGCAGCTTTTCATCAGAGCAGAGGAGGAGGGGCTTAAGAAGACAGGGGCCATGCCTCCCCGTGCAGCAAACACCCACGATTGAGGCCGCCCCCTCCTACCTTGCACAATGTCATCCTGGCGCTGGAGTGGGGGCCGCGGGGGCCACGCCACGTCCTTTTCCACGTGCTTGAAGGCCCGGCCTTCATTGAAGGAATGGGGAAGGTTCCCGGCGTGCACCTGCCGGAGCTGCTCAAAGTCACTCAGGGCTGCGCTCAGGTCCCAGTTTTTCCCTGCGCCAGAGGAAAGAGAAGAGAGAGGGTTCGGAGAATGAAAGCCACCAAACCAACCCCAAGCAGAGGTCCCCTCACCTCTCTGAATCACAGATCCTAGAATCACAGAACTGCAGAGGCGGAAGATGCCCCCCCAGGTCATCTAGTCCAACCCCCTGCAATGTAGGAATCAGCGTTCAAGAATCCCCAACAGATGGCCATCGAACCTCTGTTGAAAACCTCCAATGAGGGAGAGTTCTCCACCTTATATTATTATTATTATTATTATTAATTTATACCCCACCAATTGGGCTGGGTTTCCCCAGCCACTCTGGGCGGCTTCCAACAGAATATTAAAATACAATAGTCTGTTAAACATTAAAAGCTTCCCTAAACAGGGCTGCCTTCAGAGGGAAATATTGAAAGAGCACCTGCTCTCAGAAAGTTCTTCCTTCCTAATGTTCAGCTGGAATCTCCGTTCTTACAATTTGAATCCATCGGTTTGGGTCGTCCCCTCTGGAGCAGCAGGAAATGAGCTTACTCCACCTTCCACGGTGACGGCCCTTCAGATGTCCGAAGGTGGCCATCCCACCACCTCAACGATGCTTGTCAAATCCCCCTCTTCTATCAAGAAGCAGCCTAACATATCTCATCGCCGCCACCCCACTCAAAATTGTATCCCCTAATATCTAGAAAAGCCCCACCCCACAAATGTCCTTCTTAATATAAAACAACAAGGAGAGATTTCCTGGTGCCAACAGAGAAATGAGAACTCTTGTGTTTACTTCCTTGACACGTGGTTCTGGCCAAAAACAGAGAGCTCTCACTCTTTCTAAGATGAGAGTCTCTTTGCAAAACGTGTCCTGAAAACTACGTAGAATTTCAGAAATCAAAAGGGGGAGGGCATCACCTTCAAGAAGATCCCTTGCCAATCCTGGCTCTGCCCCTGTTGAGCGTACAAAATCCGATAGGACGACGTCCATATCCAGGGTCATGTGATCATGAATTCCTTGCGGGTGGGTGGGAACGGGTGGGACATCGATCCGGGCTTCCGCTTCAGTCTGGAGGAGGGAAGAGGCAAGGAAGGGCCAGATTTACAGGTTGTCTGAAAAACTTGGGTGGGCAACTAGAAATCTCTTTATTGGTCATTTTAAGGCATTTGTAAAATACCCGGAAGGTGCCTAAACAGGTCAGAGCCGCATGGAGGGAAACTATGCTTTGCATTCATAGAATCACAGAACTGTGGAGCTGGAAGGGAACCAAAGGGTCATCCAGACCAACCCCCTGCAACGCACTCAGGAAAGGAAAAGGACGCCCCACACAACATAAAGATGTGTCCAAATGAAACGAGGAAGCGCAACAGGTCAGTGCTGGAAACAAACAAATAAATCGGGTGTTACAAGCATATAGATGTCACCTTTAGCAAAACCCTAGCCAACAGCTATGACACAGAATCGTAGAATTGGAAGGGACCCCAAGGGTCTACTAGTCCAAACATCCCTGACAGACGGACCATCCAAACTGTTTAAAAACCTCCCGTGAAGGAGAGTCCACCATCTTCCGAGGTGTCATCCATTCCACTGGCCCACAGCTCTTCCCCGCAGAAAGTTCTCCCTGACGCTTCATCGGAATCTCCATTCTTGTAATGTGCTACAATGAATCTTTGGCCGCCACACTGCTCAAAAGGGCAGGATCTCCAGCGGGCAGCCAGCCCCCCACCCCAAATCCAGCCAAAGGTCCATCGGCAATGCTTTCGTCCACTCTCTGCACAAGCCTCCCCCCACCCCACCCCCACAGAAAGTGAAGGCAGAATGGGCTCTCCCGCTACCAAAGGGGTCTCAGCACATGCCCCATCCGGGAGAGGGAGGGGGTTTAGACCAGGGGCTCCCTAAGTGGGGAGTACCTCACCTTGGGGGGGCGGTGGGATTCCCAGAGGGAGCATTAAGCAGCAATGGGGCGGCAGGGCAGCATAAATGACCACCCAATTATCAGCAAATCTGGAATCCCTGGCTCAATTTCATCAGTTTTGTGGAACTAATTAAACTAAATAGTTTTAACTGGATTTTGAATGCAATGTCTAGTTCTGAATTTCATCACGTTACAGTGGTACCTCGGGTTACGAACTTAATTCGTCCATTCTTAACCCGAAACCATTCTTAACCTGAGGCACGCTTTCGCTAATGGGGCCTCTCGCTGGTGCCGCACCGCTGACGCCGAATTCTGTTCTCATCCTGGGGCAAAGTTCTCAACCCGAGGTACTACTTACGGGTTAGCGGAGTTTGTAACCCGAAGTGTTTGTAACCTGAGGTACCACTGTACAGTGGTACCTTGGGTTAAGAACTTAATTCGTTCCGGAGGTCCGTTCTTAACCTGAAATTATTCTTAACCTGAAGCACCACTTTAGCTAATGGGGCCTCCTGCTGCCGCTGCGCCACCAGAGCACGATTTCTGTTCTCAACCTGAAGCAAAGTTCTTAACCCGAGGTAATATTTCTTGGTTAGCGGAGTCTGTAACCTGAAGCGTATGTAACCCGAGGTACCACTGTATTTTCTTTCTTAGCGGGTCATGCAAACCACTCTTCTGGATAATGCTTTTTATACAGGATAAGTTGATGGAACCAAGAGGACAGTGGTCACTCCCAAAAAAGTTTGGGTACCACTTATGCAAAGGGTGAAAAGAAACGTGGGGTGGTAACGGCAACCTTCTGGTCGGCTGGAGCCAGCCTCGCCACCCTAATCCTGTTGGGCTTCAGGCTCCTGCCAGCCAACATGCTGGCTGGCTAGTTAAGGACGACAGAGCGGGGGCTGGAGAGTCCAGCAACATCTGGAAAACTGCAGGTTCCCCACAGCAGTCGCAAAAGCAGAGGTCTTCAGGCAGCTGCTGCAAAACAGCAGTTGCAAATTAGCACTCTTGTCTGTTTGTTTGTTTGTTTGCTTGTTTGTTTGTCTGTTTGGCAGAAACAGAGGCTGGGCAGCCTTGAACTCTGGTTTCCCCCGTGTGGGGAGAAGGCGGTCAGGATTATCTGAAGGCTCTCCAGAAAACCAGCACCAGGAGAAGCCAATTCAAACAAGGGAGAGGGAGAGGGAGCGCTCCAGACACACCCAGGGAGGACGGATGTTGCACCGCCACTCTTGTTTTCCCAGAAAAGCAAAACTATAAATTATGTGGCAAAAATGGTCTGCGAAGCCTGCAGATGGCAGCTCCCCAAGTGTTTCCACAGCTGCCGCCGCTCAGAGATTTCCAGCAAACGCCTTTGGGGACGGGGGTTGCAAGGCAGGAAAGGCGGGCCATGGAATCGTAAACTTGTAGAGTTGGAAGGAACCATGAGGGCCATGCGGTCCCGCCCCAGGCAATGCAGGAATCTCATATTCAGGCTTCTCTATGGCGGCCTGCAAGAAGATCCAACCTCTCCATTCTTAAGGAAATCAGCCCTGAGTGCTCACTGGAAGGACAGATCCTGAAGCTGAGGCTCCAATACTTTGGCCACCTCATGAGAAGAGAAGCCTCCCTGGAAAAGACCCTGATGTTGGGAAAGATGGAGGGCCCAAGGAGAAGGGGATGATGGAGGACGAGATGGTGGGACAGTGTTCTCCAAGCTACCAGCATGAGTTTGACCAAACTGCGGGAGGCAGTGGAAGACAGAAGTGCCTGGCGTGCTCTGGTCCAGGGGGTCACGAAGTGTCGGACACGACTAAACGACTCAACAACAACAACATGGCGGCCCCTAAATTGTGGGACTCCCTCCCCAGAGAAGTGCGTCTGGCCCTTTCTTTATACAGCTTTCGGCAAATGGTGAAGACAGACCTCCTCTTCTCTTCTTGGTAAACTTTTTCTTCTTTTTTAAAATTTCATTTTATAACGTACCGAGAACAGAGATGTCGGGTGAAAATGAAAAGACGAAAAACAAAATTATCAAATGGGCAGGTAGAATGAGTACAGTTGCACATGGGTTAAAATAACAAAGAAAAGGGGAGATTAAAACAAAAGATCAGAATCTGTTTATGTATGCCACAGCCGCCGCAAGAACCCTACCGGCCCAAAAATGGAAAACACAAGATATACCAACCATCCAGGAGATGAAGATGACAGAATTTGCGGAACTTGCCAAATTGACAGGGCGGATCTGGGACCAAGAGGACCAGAGATACAAGAACAATTGGAGTAAATTTATTGAATACTTAAAGGAGAACTGTAAAAACTTAAAGACACTAGCAAGACTGGAATAATACCTTCAATGTAAAATAGTAGAGATATAAGAATAATATACGTGATAAGAATGTGATAAATATACTGTAGGGAGGGAGGGAAGTCAAGACTCGGCAGAGTCAAAGGGAATATATTGTGATAATAAGAATTGTTGGGAAAAGAATATTTAAAATAAATAATAAAAATTTACTTGGAAAAAAAAATAACAAAAAAAAGAATACCAGCGTTCTCGGATTATGAAGTCTAGTTCCAGATTTGCCAAGTTCATGTCATGACAAAGGTCATCTTGAAAATGATAGCTTTGCTTTATTTGTAATAAAAAAATGCCAAATCCATTATTATTATTATTATTATTGCATTTAATTGTACTCCACCATTTTCCCTGATGGGACTCAAGGAGGCTTACAGATAAAAACAAGAATATAGAAAAATTGACCATTAAAATACAAGTAAACACTGATAGAATTAAAACTATATAAACTCTGCTTAATCCATACAAATAATTATGAGCCTTCTGGGTTCACCTCGGCAAGAAGGAACGGAGCCATTGTAAAACAGTGCCTCCAAGTCCCATCCCAGCCCAGAAGGATACCATGGTTGATGGTATCGAAATCCGCCAAGAGGTCCAGCAGAACAGAGACACCTTCCTCCTGTCCAGTTCCCAACATAAGTCACCCACCAAGGTGACCAAAGCCATTTCTGTCCCACAGCCAGGCCTGAAGCCGGATGGACATGGGTCTCGAGAATCTTTCTGCTCCAGAAAGCACTGGAGCTGAGATGCCACCACACACTTTAATTCCTTCCCTCGAAAGGGATGTTGGAAACTGGCTGATAACTATCCAATACGGTGAGATTCAGGAAGGGCTTTTTCAACAGAAGTTTTTTAACTGCCTCCTTTAGGTGCCCTGGAATCCTTTCTTGTTCTAAGGAGGCACCTTCGCCCCCTCTGCCAGCCCTCTGCTCACCCTTTGTTTTTTTTAACATAATTTATAATTTATTTAACATAATTATTACAAAATATAAGCAAAATATTGCAAATACATATATACATACATATTTCAGATAAGCACACATATAAAAAAAGAGCAAAAGAGGAAAAAGCAAGAAAAGAAAAAAGAAAAAATAGAGAGAAAAAGAAGAAGAAAAGTTGGAAGAGTTTCTTCCAAATTTATTCTACAAATATCTCAATAATAAAATTCATTGACCGACTTCCATCACTTACACTGCACTTCCTAAATACATTTTAAGCAAGATTGTATCTGTTATTCCGTATTTTCCCCATACAATCTCACACAAATATTCTAATCAATAAGTTTTCTAAATCTTTCATAAATCTATTCTAAACACAACCAATACCTTACATTTAATCTTTGTCTACATAAAGAATCATTTGAACATTTCCATTGTTTCTGGATTATATTTTTTGGCCTTCACTCGCCCTTTGGATGAGCCAGTAAGGGAAAGGATCAAGCACACGTGTGGCGGCTCTCACATTTCCCAAGGATCCTGCCCACATCCTTGGGCGGCACAAATTGGAAAGCATCCATTAACACAGGACAAGCAAGAGGCCAAAGTTACACCCACCGGACCTGTATCAACTGTGGCGTCCAAGTCAGAGCAGTTTTGTCAACAAGGTGTCTGGAGGTTCTAGCCTTTATCAAAATCCCAAATGATGCGTCATTTTCTCCATTATACCTCTTTTCCAGAGGGAATAGTACCAAGCAAGATCACAGAATCATAGGATTGGAAGGGACCCTGAGGATCTCCTGGTCCAACCCCCTGCACCGCAGGAATACACAGCAGTCCCAACCTTGGCGTCATCAACACCACGCTCTAACCAACTGAGCAATCCAATCATTTGAACTTCACTTTCAACGTTAAGTCAGGGTGGATTTGATTTAAATCAAATCTATTTAAATCACGATTTAAATCACTAGTCAGTAAGACTTGGTTTAAATCTTTTTTATTATTATTTTACAGAAAGACTCATTCTCGCTGGTATAATCTTTAATATTTACAACCGAGGCATGACGATACTGAGCCAGCTGAACCTCAATGGTCTGGCTTCGAATATGGAACCTTTCTATGCTAATGAATACTGTAATTTTTAAATAATCCTATTAATTCAGCACTTTATTCAGAAACATGAGGACTAGAAACTTGACTTTACTTTTAGGGGTAGCTCAGGGAAGACGCTTCTGCTTTGCATGCAGAAAGCCCCAGTTTCAATCCCCGACAGAATCTCTAAGCAAGGTCTTGAATGTGCCCTGCCTGAATTCCTGGAGAGCTGCGGCTGCCAGTCAGTGTAGGCAATATTGCACTAGATGGACTGAGGGTCTGTCTCACTAGAAGGCAGCTTCTTGTGTCACAACATGACTTGGCCGAAATGGTTTCAGCCAAGGTTCTCCCGCTTATGCCCCAGGAGGAATCTGCTTGCCTTGAGCGGCCAAGGCAACATGACAGCATCGTTGGTAAAGATAGCCCTGTCACTCACAATCAGCGGGATGCAAACAAAGCTCTCCCAGTGACTCAGCAGGGCACAAGAAGGGTGCAAACCACAAGCTCGATGCAAGCAAGCGCAGCCCGGAAGCAAAGAAAATCCACTCGAACACGCACATTGCTCGGCCATGTCCTAGCTGCAGGTCTCTTGTCCGAACAAGCGGTGAGCTACCAGTGGCAGGCTTTTATTGAGCCATGCTAACAGGCTGGTAGGTATTTTTGCAAGATGCCATATACACCTGTGGTTCCCAAACCTTTTCAAGCCATCACTCCCTTGCAGAGCATTTTGCACCTGGATGGGCGCCAGGATGGCGGAGGACGTCTCCACCATCTGGAGACGCACGCTTAGAGATCCTTGGATCTTGACTGTTTTTGCACATCAGCAACACATCCTGTAGAATTCAGTCCGCTATATTTTATCTTGAGAGTCCCATGGACTGCAAGAAGATCAAACCTCTCCATTCTGAAGGAAATCAGCCCTGAGTGCTCACTGGAAGGACAGATCCTGAAGCTGAGGCTCCAAGACTTTGGCCACCTCATGAGAAGAGAAGACTCCCTGGAAAAGACCCTGATGTTGGGAAAGATGGAGGGCACAAGGAGAAGGGGACGACAGAGGACGAGATGGTGGGACAGTGTTCTCAAAGCTACCAGCATGAGTTTGACCAAACTGCGGGAGGCAGTGGAAGACAGGAGTGCCTTGCGTGCTCTGGTCCAGGGGGTCACGAAGAGTCGGACACGACTAAACGACTAAACAACAACAATATTTTATCTGCACAATCAGAATGAATTTCAGGAACCAAAAAGTTGCATTGAAAAATACGACTTTCGAGCCATCTGACCCCCAAATGGCAACTAGGCATTCCGTTTTGGCGACTGTAACCCTGGTTTAAGGAGCCATTTGGCCCCTGGCTTATATATCTCAGTTTCTAACACTGCTCCCTTGGCTCCATAAACTCGCCCCCAATGCCCACTATCCTATGAAAAGAATTATTCAGAATATGACCCTCCAAGGAAGTTAGTAACACAATAAAATTCAGAGTAGTAATGATCAATTGCACATTTATTCAATATCCAATTAAAAATATTTAACTAATTGAAGAAAATGGACGAGCTTCCTAGAGAATCACACACAAACACCAAAGAGAGTAGTGCCACACACTTTGGGAATTCTTGCTATAAGTATATACTATATGGCTTGGGTCCCAAATTGTCTGAAGGACCGTATCTCCCTACACAAGCCTGCCTGGGCTTTGAGCAATTCTGCTTCAGAAGGAGCTTCCTACTCTGTGTTTCTGGCTGAGACTGTGTTCTGAGCACTTCTGCACAGAACTTCTGAGCACGCTGCCTCATCAGAAAGGAGTCTCTATGTGAAGCAGAGACTCCTCCAGAGACCCAACGAGTAGACGGAAAAGCTTACAGTATGAGGAACGACCGGATCAATCATGTCCGAGGAAGGGGACATGATCCGAGTCAGCCGATCGAGCAAATGGCATGTAGTGAGCCTATTTAATACCTAGCAGATGCGTTTGAAAGCTGGCGCACCTTGACATTACATCGGACCTTGAAAAGCATGTATCAATTCCCTCCCCCCTCTCTGCATCCACACACATAGAGCCAGTGTGGCCTAGTGGTTAGAGCAGCCACAGGCAAACTCCGCATCTCCAGACGTTTGGGACTACAATTCCCATCATCCCTGACCACTGGTCCTGTTAGCTAGGGGTGATGGGAATTGTAGTCCCAAACATCTGGAGGGCCGGAGTTTGCCTATGCCTGGGTTAGAGTGCTGGACTGGGGTCTGGGAGGTCAGGTTCGAATCTCCACTCAGCCATGGAGCTCACTCATGGCCTGGCCTACCTTACAGGGTAGTTGTGAGGATATAATTGGGGGGGGGGAACTATGTATGCCTCCTTGAGCTGCTTAGAGGAAAGAATTTGGGATAAAAATGCAGAAAACAAACACACAAAGCTGAAGGCACCGGGAGCCAAGAGGGTGGTCTCACAATTAAAATTCAACCCTGACTGAAGTCTTCTTCCTCTGCGCATCAGTGCCAAACTCTTGCCCCTGTTTCCTCGCCATTTCATCCAAGGATCCTACAGGAAACCTGTTCTGCTCTCTCTTCTCAAGAGTATAGAATCAAACTGTGGCCCTCCCTGCTGCTGCATCTTAGGACACACCAAACTGTGGCTGCAGCGTCCTTGAAGGGGTGGGTGGATAAACCGATCCTGTAACCAGAAGACATATAATCCTGGGACTCTCCACCCACAATTTCCTCTCAATAGCCACAAGGGCTCACAATCGTCTCTTTAAAAAAACGAAATCCTCAGCAATACTTCAGCTGCTTCCTCCAAAAGCCACATTCTGAAGTTTCTCCCTCGCTCACACACAATTCCCATCTGTACACACGACGAACCTTCAGCCTATCTCCTCCAAATCCATTATTTTAAACTCAACCATATGGCGGCCCAAGGACTTCAACCTTTCGAATTAATCTGCTCCAGACGACACTGGAGGCTTTTGAAAATGAGCACTGCAGCACATACCATAGGAAACTCAAGTTCAAGTCAAAATAGGTAGCCTCCGACGACACCGGAGGGGGGAGAACAGGAGAGAGAATTCGGGAAGCCAGCCTTCTGGAGGACTGGCCTCGAATCAATGGGAGGGTTGAGCCCGGCCTCTGAGAAAAGGACTCAACAAATCCGCTTTATTTAGGGTGATCAAAGGCAGGGAGAAAAAGCGCAAATAGGCACCAGTAATATTTTCCTTGACATGTGCTTGACTACTTCCTCGAAAAACCACAGCGTCATCTTGGGCTGACAAGACACAATCAGACATCAGTTAAGTGTTGTGGAAAGATGTGCTCTTAATCGCCTACGAAGATCTGGCAGAATTAGAAAGTTTTCTGCAGGCATTGAGAAGTTGGCACAGAAGGCGACTGCTAAATATCTAGTGGCAGAGCGTTCCACAGGATTGGGCCAATAGTGCCAAAGGCTCGGATTCTTGTTGTTGCCAAATGTGCCTCACTGACTCGGGAAACGAGGGTCCAGGAAGTCACCAAGCTGGACCTAAATTGTTCGGGCCTTGCAAATTAATGCAAGGACCTTGAACCTTGCACTACGGTAATTTCAAAAATTAGAAATTATGCAATGCTTTCAAAGCACCTCCTGTAGCTTCCTTACATTCCTTAGCATCACCCTTACATCATCCTTGACAGGTAGGCCAGAATTATCATCCCCAGGGCTCAATGCCAAGACCGAGACCAAGAGACTGTGTAGCCTGCCAAGGTTGACCTGACCAGTTTATAGCAGAAATGAGATTCGATTCAAGGTCGTAGTTTTAGCTTCCTTTTGGACCTGAAAATGACAGCCAGGTAGAACGGCCTCCACCAAGTCTTCATTATTACACCCCATATTTCTCCTCCTCTCCTCTGTTCAAATTACAGTGGTACCTCAGGTTAAGAACTTAAATTTGTTCTGGAGGTCCGTTCTTAACCTGAAACTGTTCTTAACCTTAGGTACCACATTAGCTAATGGGGCCTCCCGCTGCTGCCGCACGATTTCTGTTCTCATCCTGAAGCAAAGTTCTTAACCCGAGGTACTATTTCTGGGATAGCGGAGTCTATAACCTGAAGCGTCTGTAACCCGAGGTACCACTGTAGAGCCAAACAAACCAGGGATTCTTTAGCTACCATTTCTGCATTGCAGGGGGTTGGACTAGATCATGGGTCGGCAACCTAAGTCCGCGGGCCAGATCAGGCCCAACTGCCTTCTAGATTCGGCCCGTGGACTGGCCGGGAATTGCCATGTGGATCGCCAGCACGCGTTCTTTCCCTCTCCCTCACAGGGCGGCGCTTTTCTCCTGAGAGACAGAGCAATCTTGTCCCACGCCAGGTCCTGTCGATGGCGGGAGTTGGCTTGCCCGCCTCAGCAGGGCAGTGCTGTGAAGGGGGCCTGCGACACCAGTGGCTGCTGCGTTTTCCTCCTGCTTCTTCTCCCTCTCCCTCAGCCCTTCCTTCTCCGCGCCCCTTTTCCATGCCGCTTCCTCGCGCGCTTTCTTCGTTGCCCCCTCCCTCCCTCCTTCATTCCTCCCATGGTGTTCAGGCGGTTCGTTGCGGTGGCCGCGGCCACTGCTTGTAGGTTAAAGGGCGGCTCTGTCTTCTCTGCGGTGCCTCTCAGGAAGCAGCAGCAGGTGGTGGGTAAAAGCTCTGGCGACGCCCCGGTTCCCCTACCTCTGCCCGCGGCTCCTCCTCCGGGGCTGCTGTTTCTGTCTTCACTGGCCGACTCAGCCTCCTACCCCGCCATGGCGTCTGGCTGGCTGGAGAAGTCCAAATGCGGCTATTGGGACGATAGCTGGGACTAGTAAAGCGAAGCATCTTCAGGCCTCTTTTCGGCCGGGCAAAAATCGTTCATTATTTTTTTCCTTCAAAATATAGTCCGGCCCCCCACAAGGTCTGAGGGACAGTGGACCAGCCCCCTGCTGAAAAAGTTTACCGACCCCTGGACTAGATGACCCTCGGGGTCCCTTGCAACTCTACAATTCTGTGTTTTCTGGGTTTTCCCAGCCACTCTGGGCGGCTTCCAACAGAATATTAAAATACAGTAGTCTGTTAAACATTAAAAGCTTCCCTAAAGAGGGCTGCCTTCAGATGTCTTCTAAAAGTCTGGTAGTTGTCACTTTCGACAAAATATTAAAATACAGTAATACATCAAACATTAAAAGCTTCCCTTCAGATGTCTTCTAAAAGTCTGGTAGTTCTTCTTCTCTTTGACATCTGGTGGGAGGGCATTTCGCAGGGTGGGTGCCACCACCGAGAAGACCCTCTGCCTGGTTCCCTGTAACTTGGCTTCTCGCAGCAGGAGAACCTCCAGAAGGTCCTTGGCTGTAGCAAGTCAGAGGTGTCACGCGGTGTGGTCCGCTGGGGCTGTACCATGCCAGGATGCCAAAGGGGAGAGGTCACCTGCTCTGGCTTAATAGCTACAGGGTTTTCACTCTCCCAAACAGCCCCTTCCGCCTGCCCCCGTGGCACATCACCGAAGCAAATACGGCTCCAAGGCTGCATGCGGCAAGGCCCTCCCGCGTTCAGGCTCAGGAACTCACAGGCGCTCAAATTCACAGGTTGCAGACACCCTGCTTATAAATAGCTCAATTTAGTCAGGTCTTCAAGGTGCTTTGTCATATGGCGAGGGCGGGAGAAGCAGAATCCCTAGCTCACGGGGCCATCGTGTTTTGTCAAATACCTCATCAGGGCTAATTACACCAAGTCTCCTGGATTAACGAGGAATCAGTGAGGGTGTCCTGCGTCCATTTCTCTTTTTTAAGAGACAGGGACACTGAGGCAGCAGTGACGAGTCATTCCTCAGGCATGAGGCAGGGCCAAGCAAGTATGACTTAATGCAGCCGAGGCTGGAAAAAATATTTCTAGGATTACACGTAGATGATTGTTAACCTTCTGCAGGGGAAGGGCAGAAAGTTCGCGGCTGAGCATGTGCTTTGAATACAGGAGGTCCCAAGTTCAATGCGCGGCGGCTGCAGGTGGGGCTGGGACTGTTCCCCGACCAAAAATCTGGAGAGCCAATCAGTGCAGAAAATACTGCGCTAAATGGATCAAGGGTGTGACATGGAATAAGGCAGGGACCTCTGTTCCTGTTTACATCAGCCCTTTCTTCAGAACCATGAGGACTAGAATCTTAGTTCGTTTTTTAAAAAAGGGAGCAGTTGTATTTCAGTGGCAGAGCATGTGCTTTGCTCGAAGAGGGTCCTGGGTTCAGTTCCCAAGCAGCTCCAGGCAGGGCTGAGAGTTGTCCCCCTGCTCGAAAACCAGGAGAGCTGCTGCCAGTCAGTGCAGGCCATACCGAGGTAGATAAGAGTGGTGATCTGACTCAGTGTAAGGCAACTTCCTATGTCCTTAAAGGGAAGGGCTGTGGCTCATTGGCAGGGCGTCTCATTTGCAGGCAGAAAGTTCAGTCCCTGGTGCCTCCAGAGGGGGCTACGAATGCCCCACCTGTCAGCATTGATAATGGGCCTGACAGATGGGAGGGTCTGACTCTGTATAAGGAGACCTGCTGCGTCAAATGCCCACATTCACTTTACGAATGCTGCAGAGGGGGGCTTCTGTCTGCACCTCACCCATTCCAGTTCTGATTAAACCACTTACTGAAGAACTAACATTACAACTTATACCACTACACTTTTTTGGTGGGGTGGGGTCCTAAGAGGCATGGGGGCAGCAGCGAGGCACTGGAGGTGCAAATTATTGTTGTTGATATTCTTTATTATTATTATCAGACTTTGAAAAGCAGGCATCACTGGAACCATTTATCCATTTTTGCTGAATTACCGTATTTTTTCGTGTATAAGATGCCCCCTATTTTTAGGGACTCCAATTTAGGAAAATAGGGGGGAGATTGCCCCATGTATAAGACGACCCACAGTTTTTCACATAATTTTTAAGTTAAAAAAACCTAGTCTTATACAAGGAAAAGTACGGTAATTAAATTAAATGTTTTAATTGGATTTTGAATAAACACGCAATTAAGCGTTACTGTTTTGAATTTTGTTGTGTTGTTATCTTCCATCATGGGTCATGCAAATTGCTACCCAGAAAAATGCTTTTTAGGGTGTGGGTGGCCCTGAAAAAGTTTAGGGACCTCTGGCCTCCACCGCCAGCATTCCTTGTAGGGGCAAGCTAGAAAGAGGTGCTGTGGTCATCCACTGCAATAAAGAAATACATGCAGTTTCTCATCAGCAATCCTGCAGGTTTCACACACATGCAAAGAGATTTTTAAAGCACAAGGATTTCTTTCCATCAAGTAAGATTTTCCAGGGTGCAAAGAGGCATATATGCAGAATTCCAGCTGCCTTAAACTCAGCACCAAAATTTAAAAAAAGCAGTTACGCTGATACAATTCCATATAAATCTGCCTGTTGCTACGATTCATAAGTCACGTTTCATGACACCATACAGGGCGGAGGAGGCAGCAAGAGCAGAGTGTATTTTCCCCCCTCCATGGCCCTCCCCCACCTCCAAATCACTACTCAATGACACTTATTATCTGTGTCAGACTTAGAACAAGTGACGCATATACCCAAGAGTCGGGGCTTGTGGTGTGTGTCCAAAATAGCCCAAACTATGTATCACAAAAAGGAAGAGGGGAGAAGTTGGTCATATTACAATTGTAAAACAGAAATTCAAGGTGGCGTTATTGACGGTAAACCCAAAAAGGGGAAAGAACTTGCAGGCATAAAATAAAATAGTAATAGTAATAATGATAACAATAATAATTTCTTTTTAAAAATAAATAAATAATAATTTCCCACCCTTTGCCCCAAGGTCCAGGGCAGCTTACAACCATTAAAAGATTGAAAACAGCTTAAAGTAGTTTACAATCACAGAAATAAGGTGGGACTTAAAACTATGCACCTCAAATGTCAAAAGCCAGGGCAAAGAGGTGAGTCCCGTCTTCAGCAGTCAACCTTCTCCATATGATGAAGGTGCCAGACTCACCTCTGCGGGGTGAGGGAGGTCTTACAAAAAGTATCCTTTCTGGATCAAGCCAAAGTTTAGCACCCTGTGTCCCGCAGAAGCCAAGCAGATGCCTATTATGGGAAGTCTTAAAATGTCAATTTGCCATTGTGGAAGGACATGCTCTTAACTGCCTGAACAAGCCTGGCAGAAAAGCTTTCAGCAGGAGTTTAAAATGTTGACGCAGAAGGCATCTGCCGAATGTCTAGTGGCAGAGCGTTCCACAGGACAGGGCCAAAGACACCAAAGGCTCAGTTTCTCACTGCTGTCAAGCAAGCCTCGCCAACTGAGGGAATGACCGAATGCTCCTGCTGATGATCTCAGGCAGGGATGTCCAACAGGTCGACCGCGATCTACTAGTAGATCCTCAGGAGGTTTTCGTAGATCGCGGTCGATCGTTGGCTCCCTTTCCTTAGCAGTGAGCGACTTTCCCCCTTTCTCCCTAAAAAAGCCTCAACAACTTTGACCTGAAACACCCCCCCCAAAAAAGGGGTAGATCACGGCCAGTTTTTTATTCTGTGAGTAGATCACAGTCTCTTAGAAGTTGGCCGTCCCTGATCTCAGAGGTCAAGCTGGGATAGAAGGGCTCAGGCCACCCCTGGACTTTAGCTGGTAAAGGTTTGGAAATTAATACAGTGGTACCTTGGTTCTCAAACTTAATCCGTTCCGGAAGTCCGTTCCAAAACCAAAGCGTTCCAAAACCAAGGCGCGCTTTCCCAAAGAACGTAATGTAAAATGGATTAAACCGTTCCAGACTTTTAAAAACAACCCCTAAAAGAGCAATTTAACATGGATTTTACTATCTAACAAGACCATTGCTCCATAAAATGAAAGCAATAAACAATGTACTTCAGTCACACAATCAATCAATCAATCAGTAACTGGACTGGGTTCCACACAGTAACAAAAACGAAAAAAGAGCCGCAAAAACAAAAAAGCAAAATAGCAAAAATAGACAGACCTCAGTGTAACACTCAAAACAGAAGTGTGGCACTCAAATCGGAAGCATAACAGTCAAAATGAAGCACGTTCAAGCATCCAAAAAAAGTTCGCGAACTGGAACACTTACTTCCGGGTTTGCAGTGTTTGGGTTCCAAGTTGTTTGAGTACCAAGGCGTTTGAGAACCAAGGTACCACTGTACAAAGACCCTGAACCCAGCTCAGTATTGAGGTAACACATCTAATTGTTTTTATATATACAATGTAATTTTATTGAATTTCCAAATTATTACAAATGGACTTCAAATAGTCACATTGTTTCGTGACTTCCCACGCAAACCTCTGCAGTGTTTTCGTTCTTAGGAAACATATTTAGGAAGCAAAGCTAAGAACCTCTTGAAATTGCCAACCTGCATATTTATTTGCAATAGACATTAGCACAGATTCACGGTTGCTTTTGTGGAAGCTTTCCTGTAGGAAAACAAAGCGCTGGGTAAGTTCGCTGCCCCCACCCCTGTTTATGAGACTTCGGGAGGACCAACAACTCCTTGTGGGCTTAGCTGCAAAGCTGCATGTTTTCCCTGCCTCAGTTTGCTTCACCCTCTTCTCAGCATCTTCTTGGCATGGGGAAGGAGGTCGCCTGACGCACCCTTTCCCACATTCCTGAGCACAGAGGAGGCCGCTCCCATAAGGCAACCATTTCTCCAGCTCAGGAGGACTACGAGTCTCCGCTCTCTCCTTTACAATCACATGCACAGAATTCCCCCAAAAAACTCCCTGCCAGATCACAGCAGGGGGGGGGGGGATTCTGCTGATCAAGCTCACTGATCAAGAAGCAGCACTCACAATTCACCAGGCGCATTTTGCACTGGGCTACCAACCACTTGGGAAGTGGGTGGCGCTGTGGGTTAAACCACAGAGCCTAGGACTTGCCGATCAGAAGGTTGGCAGTTCGAATCCCCGCAATGGGGTGAGCTCCCGTTGCTCAGTCCCTGCTCCTGCCAACCTAGCAGTTCGGAAGCACGTCAAAGTGCTAGTAGATAAATAGGTACCGCTCCAGCGGGAAGGTAAACGGCGTTTCCATGCGCTGCTCTGGTTCGCCAGAAGTGGCTTAGTCATGCTGGCCACATGACCCAGAAGCTGTACGCCGGCTCCCTCGGCCAATAAAGCGAGATGAGCGCCGCAACCCCAGAGTCGGCCACGACTGGACCTAATGGTCAGGGGTCCCTTTACCTTTACCGGCCACTTGTGACCAAGTGAAGATGCCCAATGGCCAGGATAGCACCTGGCGTCTCCACCATCTGGAGGTGCATACCTGGGGACCGTTGGATCTGGACTGTATTCACACATGAGCAACACATCCTGTAGAAACCTATCCATTATCTTTTACCTGCACAGTTAGAATAAGGTTACCAGACGTCCCCATTTCCCGGGGACAGTCCCCGGATTTACAAACCAGTCCCCTGACAAAATCCTATCATTCCTACTGAAGTTGAAAAGTGTCCCCGGATTGATTGAAAAAAAATCTGGTAACCTTAAGTTAGAATGAATTTCAGAAAACCAAAAAGCCGCACTGAAAAATACGACTTCCGAGCCGTCTGGCCCAAAATGGCAACTAGGCTTTCCGTTTTGGCGACTGCAACCCTCGTTTAAGGAGCCATTTGGCGCCTATCTTATATATCTGAGTTTCTAACACTGCCGAGAAGGGAGAACTAGGACTCAGGTAGCCTTGCATATGTTCTGGACTCCCAGCAGCCCCGGGAACTAGCGTGGCCAAGGATCCAGGGGTGGTGTAGTGGTTTGAGTGCCGGACTAGGACCTGGGAGACTAGGGTTTTAAATCCCCGCTCTGCCATGAAGCCCACTGGGCATGACCTAGGGCCAGCCACTGTCTTTTCTCAGCCTAACCTACCTCGCAGGGTTGTTGTGGAGATTAAATGAGGGAGGGGGGAGAACCATGAAAGCTTACCCACCTTGGAAGAGTGGCAGATGAAGGTTATAGACTATATGACATTGGCGGAGATGACTGGCAGAATCCGTGAGCAGGGGAAAGAGACGGTGGAAGAAGATTGGAAGAAATTTAAAATCTATCTAAAGAACTATCATAAAATTGAGGAATGTTAAAATGTCGAGGTTTGGAGAAAGAAAAGGAGATTACAGCGACATAAGATTAAGTTGAGGAAAAAGAAAAAAAACAAGAAAAATTTATTTGATAAAATTATTTAGAATTTGCTGAAATAATTTTGGGAATTGGGATGTAGGAAGGGGAGGTTTGGGGGAGTCCGAGAAGAGAGGGTTATGAAAAAAAAGGTTATGAAATTATACATGTTTGTATGTCTTTTTATTTGTTTGTATTGTATAAAACTTGTTTGTAAAATCAATAAAAAAAATTATAAAAAAAAAAAAAAAAGAGAACCATGAAAGCTGCCTTGAGCTCCATGGACAAAAAGGTGGGATATTAATACAATCAATCAATCCTCAGGGATGGCAAGGGAAGATGCAATCTAGGAAGATCTAGATGGCATCTGGAAGATACCTATAGCTGTAGCTGCTTTCAGGGAGAAAGGAGCGGGTGGTATTCTGGGCTCATTCCTCTCCAGGTTTGTGGCAACCCCCACCTTCCACAGCATAGCAAAAGAAAAGGGGATTGGAGGAGCTGGGTCTCATTTCTCCAAGTCACCAGAGACAGTCTCTTCTTAGGGAAGGTCCACAGCTCAGCTTCCAATGTCCCTACAAAATCAGCCTTTAATTCACGAGGAGTAGAATCCGGCTTCATTTTTAGGCGAAGAGCCACAGCTCAGTGGCAGACCATCTGCTTCGCATGAGGAGATGGCACCCACATTCAGTCCCTGCTGGCTTGGACACCTGCTTGAAATCCTGGAGAGCAGCTGCCCTCTCGTGTAGGCAACACTGAGCTAGACATACCCATGGGTCCGAGTCAGCAGAAAGAAACTCTCTACGCTCCTTTCAATCAGCTTTTTTACTCAGAACCACGAGAACCGAGATCTTAAGGTGTGTTCCTGGACTTTCTGGTCCCTGTCAGGGACTCAAGGTCTCAAGTAACCCCAGTGAAAGCTGTAAACTCAGGGGCAGAGGACCTACCTTCAACGAAATGGGTCACAGGCTCAATCCCCACGGACATCGCCAGGTAGTAGTGGGGGCGGCACCCTGCCCCAAACCTTGGAGAGCCACCTCAGAAAACGTGGAGTTAGACAGGCCGACGATCCAACCCAGTGGGAAAGCAGCTTCGTACGTTCTCATCTTCCTACTACCAGAAAATTAATATTGCGGCTCAAGGCTCACGGAAACCAAATACAGCAGGAGCTTGAAATGCGAATACGGTGAGACAGAACGCCAAACTGAAGGCAGCTACCAACATCCTGGCATGGAAGTCTTAGAGGTTTTTTTTTAAAAAAAAAAACCCAGCTCAGGTGTTGCCAGGAGGAGGACAGAAGCTTGGCAGCTCAACCCTATATAGCCTGTTGCGGCAAGAGGAAGGTCTGTTGGGTTCAATGGGGCTTCCTCCCTCAGCGCCAGAATCACATGGAAGGCAGCGTGGAGAGATTGCAAGAGTTTTGCTTCGAAAAGGAGGGGGGGAGAGAGAGAGGATGACGACATTCAAGGAAGTACCATATGTTCCAAACAACACATTCAACAGACAGACAGCCACGTGTTTCAGCCATTTGTAAACACCAGTTCATTCATGCTTATTTGCTCACCTCCGCATGGAGGTTCTTCACGGAATGAATTTAATCTGCTCCATGCAAACTCTTTTACACACACCCCTCTTTGAGTGACCGAAAGTCTTCTCTGTTCATAGCCCCTCTTCTTTGCACCCTTGATGGTTAGGACCCAAACCAACGGATTCAGCTGGCAAAGTTTCTGAGTTCTTTTGACGGTGGAACAAACTACCTGGAAAGGTAGAAGACACTCCTTTCTGGAAGCTTTTTAAACAGAGATTTAAATCCTTTTGGGGATTCGTTAGCTGCGATTCCTGTATCGTCATGGCTTGGACTAGATGACCTTTGGGGTACATTCCAACTCTAGGATTCTACGGTTCTTCTATTCCTTGGCGACCATCACTGGATCGTGAAGGATGATTGGATGTGCATCATGAAAGGCCATGTGCTATGGCTTGCAACATCACCTCTACTAATCACCTGACCGATATGACTCCTTTAGCGACTCTGACCATCGGGCCTCCTGAATCCACTTTATGCTTTTATTGCAAGGTTGAAGCCATTTTTGAAGCCATACAACCAATAATGGGGTGAAGCTGCTCCAGCTGGTATGAGCCCCGATAGCAACACGCAACACAATATGATCATCTTTATTGTCATTGTCCCATACATAACAACGAAATTGAAAATCAACATCAGACATTCAGAAACCAACAAGCCTGCTATCCCAGCCTGGTTAGCCCCCTAAAAATCCTGATTGTTGTTGTTGTTGTTTAGTCGTTTAGTCGTGCCCGACTCTTCGTGACCCCCTGGACCAGAGCACACCAGGCACTCCTGTCTTCCACTGCCTCCGGCAGTTTGGTCAAACTCATGCTGGTAGCTTCAAGAACACTGCCCAACCATCTCGTCCTCTGTCGTCCCCTTCTCCTTGTGCCCTCCATCTTTCCTAACATCAGGGTCTTTTCCAGGGAGTCTTCTCTTCTCATGAGGTGGCCAAAGCATTGGAGCCTCAGCTTCAGGATCTGTCATTCCAGTGAGCACTCAGGGCTGATTTCCTTCAGAATGAATCATTTTGATCTTCTTGCAGTCCATGGGACTCTCAAGAGTCTTCTCCAGCACCAGAATTCAAAAGTATCCATTCTTTGGCGCTCAGCCTTCTTTATGGTCCAGCTCTCACTTCCACCCATCACTACTGGGAAAACCATAGCTTTAACTATATGGACCTTTGTCAGCAAGGTGGTGTGTCTGCTTTTTAATATGCTGTCTAGGTTTGCCTTTGCTTTTCTCTGATACCTCATAAAAACTCTGATACCCCATAATTAAATACAATAGACTCCCACAGAGACACAGTTAAACTGTGGAATGGAACTCCTTCCATCAGGAGGCAGTGATAGCCACCAAGTAGGATGGCTTTAAAACAGGGTTAGGCAAATTCACGGAGGAGATGGCTACTAAACACCAGGTGCTGTAAACCGCAGGAGGGGAAAGCGCTCTTGTGCTCAGACCCTGCTTGCTGGTTTCTTGGAAGAGGCATCTGGTTGGCCACTATGAGAACAGGATGCTGGACTCGGTGGGTCTTTGGCCTGATCCAGCAGGCACTTCTTACGTCCCAGGCCCACATAGTAGAAGAGAAGCTGGACGTCTACCTGCCTGCCAACACTTTGCCAAAGCACTGAAGCCCTGGCTCTGTCCTCAAGGATGCTGCAGGCTGATACCAGCCCTGGAAAATTGCACAACATATATACAGTACATATATTTATTATTAAACAGAAAAAGGCAGAGATTCCACTGGTGGGCAGTGGCAGTAACTTCAACTGCTCTTTTAAACCTCCATCACTCTTTCCCCTGGGCTTGCTTTAATGTGGTATATTGTTTTAACTGCATTGCTGTATTAAGTTCCTTGCAATTGCCAATCCTACTCATCAGTAAAAATGCATTGACGGACGCTCGACCTGGCCTGAAAAAGACTGATGGGGCAGGCTCCCCGAGCCACTGAACAATATTCAACTACCACACACAGGTATACCTCAGCAGCACAACCGCAGACATATTGGCGCTTATAAGCCATCCTCTTGGCGACTGAACGGTCCATCAAGTGAATTAAAACACAAACCAAATCAAACATCAGTAAAATCCCTGATGAAATACCTGGCAAACCTTCCTAACTACAAGTGCCAGAGTCGTTTAAAGCACACCCAGGAAAGACGCTTTTCAGTCTCGGTAACAGCCAAAGCTTCCTGTAGTTGCTATATGGGGGGGACAGGAAGTTGTTTTGTATTTTTTTTAATGAATTGCATGTGCTTTTGGATCAATGTTCCAATGTTATAATGTGCTTATCTGGAGAGCCAATGTGGTATAGTAGGAGTGTTGGACTAGGAGAACCTGAGAGAGAAGAGGGAGAGACCTGGGTTCCAATCCCCACTCTGCCATGAAACTCACAGAGTGACCTTTGGCCAGTCATTCACTCCAGGCGTAGCAACTCAGATATATAATCTAATCACCAAACGGCACCTTAAACCTAAGTTGCAGTCACCACAATGGAATGTCTAGGCACCGTTCCCCCTGATGGTATTATTATTATTGTTTCTATACCGCTTTATATTTTAAAGAACAAATCTCAAAGCAATTTACAACACATTAAAAAAAAATCAAATAAAACAATCCAGAATAAAACTAACTCAAGCTTCAAAGAAAATCTTTCAGATCCTTCTGTGACATTTTGCTTTTCCCAGTTGCCAACCTGGATCCAGAGATCGCCATGTGGCCACAACTGGGCCTGCGCCAGTCACAAAATGCACCTGGGCTGATTTTGAATGCTGCTCACTCTCAACCTAACCTACCCCATAGGGTTACTGTGGGGATAAAATGGGATGGGGAGGAGAATTTTGCCGCCTTGAGCTTGCTGGAGGAAAGGTGCAATAACATCAATAAAATATATTTATGTTTATAAATATGGAGACCCTTCAGTAACAAGTGACTACCAGATCTAACAAACAATAAATAAGTAAATAACCCCACATTTTTTACTCAGGGATGGAAGACCACCTGCAATTAGGTCTTGCAGACCCTAGCAGGAAGGACATTCCACAAAGCAGGTACCCTGATAGAAAAAGTCAGGTTCCGTAAAGGGACGCTGTGCAGAGCCTACCCAATGGAGCCAAGAGGAAGGGTGGTAGCTCAGTGGCAGGGCACTTGCTTGGCATGCAGAAGGAACCAGAGCTCAGTTCCTGAAGGCACCTCCAAGTAGGATTGGGGACGCCCCCGCTATCAGAAATGCCGCAAAACCATTGCCTCTCAGCATAGTAGGAAATACGAAGCTAGATGGCCCAAAGGTGTGGCTCAGTATAAAGGAAGCTTCCTCTGGTTCCCTAGAAATAGCGCTTCTAGTTCTCATGGTTTTGTATAAAGGGCTCATTTAAACAGAAAGGGCTGTGACTCAGTGGCAGAACACCTGTGTCACACACGGGAGTCGTCCACCACCTTCTGTCAAACAGCTCTTACCGTCCAGAAGTGCCTCCTAATGTTCAGCTGGAATCTCCTTTCTCGATAAGTCCATCAGTTCGGGCCCTACCCTCTTGGGACAATCTAGCCCTGATATGCAGCAGAGGAGCTGCTGGTTCTCTGGAGCTAAGGTCACAGGCTTTGTTTTGCACGGGGACGTCCCTCGCGGAGGAACAGGGCTTGGCTGTGGCAAGCACTTACCTGCCGAAGGCACAGAAATCTCGCCAGCCAAGCCCTGAGATTGCATCACTCCAGGTTAGTCACATCCATCAGAATCAAAGTCCGTGGACTTATCGCGGCAGAAGGTGAGGATGCATTCCCTGCCGGTGGGGAGCTTTTAAGAAATGCCATCCAGCACCTAGAAAGGCCCAGCCATCTCATCGTGAAGCTGCTTAAATTACAGTGGTACCTCGGGTTACAGATGCTTCAGGTTACAGACGCTTCAGGTTACAGACTCCGCTAACCCATAAATAGTACCTCGGGTTAAGAACTTTGCTTCAGGATGAGAACAGAAATCGTTCGGCGGCAGCAGTGGGAGGCCCCATTAGCTAAAGTGGTATCTCAGGCTGAGAACAGTTTCAGGTTAAGAATGGACCTCCAGAACAAATTAAGTTCTTAACCCGAGGGACCACTGTAGTTCCACTTCTGCTGCTGGAAATTGTGGGGGAGACAGAGAAGCATGAAACTATTCCTGCTCCAGGTCCCACAGTATGCTGAAACATACAAAGCAGACTTATACAGATCTACCTCAATACTGTCTGCACGGGTTGGCAGCAGCTCTCAAGGGTTTCAGGCAAGGGGACACTCCCAGACCTAAGTGGGATTGAACCAGGGCCTTCTGTTTGCAAACGGGCACTCAGCCACTGAACTCTGGACCTTCCCTTTAAAATAATAGTCAAGATTCCAGTCCTCATGGTTGTGAATGAAAAGCTGGCATAAACAGACTGCCTTATATCAGTCAGACCCTTGGCCCATCTAGCTCAGTATTGTCTACACTGACCGGCAGCTGCTCTACAGTGACTTTACCACTGATCTTCAGCCCTTCCCCACCCAGTCCTGCGAGAGGCCACGTTCTGCACATCAGCAGAACCAGAACAAATGCATCTCCTGCATAAACCTGCTCAACTGCGGACATTTTTTAAAAAAATTGAATGCCCAAGGGAGACAATTGCCCAAATGCAGCAGCTAGCCAAGGTCACAGAGAAGAGCTGGCAAAAAACAAACAAACACCTGGCCTTTGCAAGAAGCCAATTCAAAACCCACAGGGAACAAGACCCTACTTGCCCGCACATCACCCCCCAAAACACGAGCATACTTCAAGACCCTGCAACCTGGGGAACAGCCAGCCAAACCATGCCTGCAAAAGCATCTCTGAGGGCCAAATTATCCTCTGGGGCATCCTTCCTAGGGCCACATGATGGTGGTGGGTGACGAGACACAAAAGTGGGTGGAGCAGTGAATGTGAATTTTACCTTTGTCTGCAGGAACTCATACACACCTCTCTATATTCCATCCCAGCAGTCAAAAAAGCGCTATCAAGAGTATAAGCCAGGTAAAAAAACTGGGGTGTGTCCATGGAGGGTATGTAAGACCTGGAGAGTTACAAAGGCAATAAGGAGGCCTAGAGGGTTGCACTGCCTGAGACTCCCCGCCCCTGGTTTTCCTGCACTTCCCCATATTATATTCACAACAACCCAGCGCAGCCGGTTAGGCAGAGGGAGACCATAACTGGTCAAAGGTGAGCTTCCTGGCTGGCTGGAGATCTGAACCCCAGTCTCCCAGGACCAACACTTTAGCAACTGGCACAGTGACATTCACCTCTGCAAGCGTGCACCCAGTCAGGAACAGCTGTGGGTTCAGAAAATGTTTTCTACCTCGACGACCGGCACCTTCCTTCTGACATTTTCACTTGCGTAGGGATTCGCATCTCAAACGCAGGAAAGTAAGGTTGGAACCAACGTTTAAGGAATGGCAACAACTAGATCCACACACACACACACACACACACACACACACAGTGTAGGATCTGCCATGTGAGCCTTTTACCACTACAGTGGTACCTCGGGTTACAGACGCTTCAGGTTACAGACTCCACTAACCCAGAAATAGTACCTCGGGTTAAGAACTTTGCTTCAGGATAAGAACAGAAATCGCACAGCAGTGGCACAGCGGCAGCAGGAGGCCCCATTAGCTAAAGTGGTGCTTCAGGTTAAGAACAGTTTCAGGTTAAGAACAGACCTTCGGAACAAATTAAGTTCTTAATCCGAGGTACCACTGTACAATGCTAAATTGCAAACAGCACCTAGAAAGGAGCTCATGCACCACACTGAAGGTGCGTTCAGGAAAGGACCATGTTGTGTAACTCCCCATGGCTGGAAGCATAAGAGCATAAGAAGAGCCCTGGCGCTGGATCAGGCCAATGGAGCTCACCTAGCCCTGCATCCTGTTCTCACAGTGGCCAATGAGATGCCTCTTCCAGGAAACCATCAAGCAGGACCCGAGTACAAGAGTCCTCTAGTTTCCAGCCACTGATATTCAGAAGCATTGCGGCTTCTGGCCATGGAGACAGAGCACAGCCATCGCGGCTAGAAGCCCTCAGTAGCCCTCTCCCCCTCCATGAAATTTGCCCAATCCTCCTTTGAGGCCATCACTGCCTCCAGTGGGAGGAAGTTCCAGAGTTTAACGAGGCTGTGCATGATTAAGTCTGAATACCAGTTGCTGGAAGCCGCCAGAGGGGAGAGGGCTCTTGGGCTCGGATCCTGCTTTTGGGTTTTTCACACTGGCATCTGGTTGGCCCCTGTGAGAACAGGATGCTGGACTAGATGGGCCCCTTTGGCCTGATCCAGCAGGCTGTTCTTATGTTTAACCTGCAGCATTCTGCATGCAACGCCGATGCTCTACTATCAAGTTGTGGTCTTTAAAATACACGTCCCGCCTCCGAGCTCAGAGATGGGACTTCCCCCAGGCTTTCCGTAGCTCGGGGGCGGGGCGATTTGATCAGGCTACTCTTCACTATCCAAAACCCGGCATTCCAGGCACCAGATAACAGAGACGGAACTTGCTAATAATGTACAAAGCACACCAGCAGCGAGTTGGTGCAGAGGAGCAAAGACACCAGGCCAGGAATGCCTTAACGTGGGCTCCGGCTACCCCTATCAATTACAAATATGAGGGGATGACACAGGCCCTCTGTCATTAGCAACTGCTAACATTTCTGTTTGCGCTGCAATTTCCAAGTCAACAGGTCTGGCCCGGGATCACGAAAACATCTGATGCGCATTCCCGGCGCTTACAGTTACACAGCAGCTTGATAAATATTAACTTAGCGCTAGTCCGGCGTCACGAGAACAATTGCAATGGCTTTTTTTATATCTTTTATCGCACACCGTCGGGAAAAAGGTGTCGCTGAACCAGGAGCAGAAAACCCACCCGCCCACGAACACTCTCTCGTCCCCGACCTCGGCTAAAATGCAATCCTGAAAGAGGGGAACGGGGAGGCACCTCCCCATCGCAGCCTCCCTTCTCATCACCACCGTGGGCTGGTCTGAAAGGGAAAGTTTTCAGTGCCGCCAATTAAAGGCACAAATTAAATCTTGCATCAAAGCTCGAGGCGCCAAGCCAAGCCTTTATGAACAAGGGAAGTTAAGAAGCGCCCCAGGGGGTTGAGGACAAGTGTTTAGAGGTTACCACAACACCGGCTTCTCCAGTAAGAGTGAAAACAAAGGAGATTTGCGACCGAAGGGGTGACAAAACAGGCAAAAACAAGGATGTGTCCAGAAGAGAGGCAAAGCTGCAAGGCAGAAGGATGATGGGGAAGTGGGGGGGGTGTTGTGGGGGCAGGGGTACCCGGAAGGATCCCAAAGAGGGGCAGAGAATCAAGGCTGCAGGGTTTAAGCCAGCAGGAGGGGGAAGAGGAAGGATCTGGGGAGGGAGAGAATTTCAAGAACCAATTTTATGGAACTCCCTTCCAGTTGAGGTCAGACAGGCCCCCTTCCCTGCTGAACTTCCAAACTTTGTTTTCTTCCAGCAGGCTTTTAAACTGAGCTCTCATTTCATTATTTTAACCCATTTTTACTGACAAGCACTTGGAGACCATTGTCATTAAGCGATAATCAATGGTAGAAATCAATGAAAGTGACTAAGATAACAACCATGCAGGAAAGTTTTGAGAAAAGGCCACATGGCGCACGCAAACCTTGAAGGCTGCAGGACCCAATAGATCAGGAAGGCTGGGTGGTTCTTCAAGCTAAGAAACCAGGAGTTTGGGGTGGGGGCTTCTAAGGTGGAAGGAGGAGAGAGAAGAGTGAGTAATGAGGGGCACAAGAAAGGGAATGGAGAGCACTGCTGGGAGAGAGGACTGGGGGAAAGCAGGAAGCTCAGGAGCTCTGGGAGGAATGGGGATGAGGATGAGGGCAAGAGGATGAGGCTTTAGGGTAGCTCATATGGGGGCGGAACAAGATCACACAGGAAGGCAGGGCTTTATGAAGTTGGGGCGGGGTTAAGGAAGCCTGAAGGTTCTAAAGGGGAGGGGCTAGGGGAGATTGAGGGCGGAGCCAGAGCAAATGGGAGGAGCCACAGAGGCTGAGAATTAACAATTAAAGTAACAACGCCCAGATTACTTTAGGGCAGGCATGTCCAAAACCCGTTTTGGGGGCCTAATCCGGCGCCTTTGGCAGTTTATTTCCTGGGGTAAAATCCTAAAAAAAAACAACACCTCAACAACTTCAATCCTTAAAAAAGTTAACAACTTTGGTCGGCCCTCACGGCCCTTCACTTCATCAAATCCGGCCCTCTTTGAAAAAAGTTTGGACACCACTGCCTTAGGAAGATGGAACAGGTAGAGAAGTAGGGGAGCAAGGGAGTGGGCGGAGCAAGATAGAACCCCGCCCCCATTTTAAAGGGGAGGAGCCAAGAGAAGGATCCCGGGGTTGGCAGCTCCCGAAAAGGGAGGAGCCACGAAACCGTTCTACGAGGGGGCGTGGCCGCAAGCGATCCCGAGGGAGGGGCGGGTGGTGGGCGTGGCGAGAGCGACCGTTCCCTCGGGCGTTCCGAAGGGGAGGGGCGCCAGGTGTGGCGTGATATTGAGAGGGGGGAAGGGGGAGGGGGCCGCCGTTTCGAGCGTTCGCGAGGGGGGAGCCGTTCGGAAGGGGCGTGGCCAGAGCGCGCGAGAAAGTTCTGAGGGGAAGAGGGAGGGCGCTCGTCTCCCCTCGGCCGCCCTCAGTCTGAGGCGAGCGCCGCTTACCCTTGTCGTCGTCCGCCGCCGCCGCCGCCATCCCGAGCTCCTCTCGCAGGGCCGCCGCCGGCTCTGAGGGGAAAGGTGTGGAAAGTCTTCTTTTGAGGGGACCTCGTCCCCCCCCCACCGGCCGAGGGAGGACGAAGGGCGGAGACTCAGCCCAGGCCGCCCTACGGTCCCCTCACGGGTCTCCTCAGCCGCCGGAGACGGAAGAAAGCGCGGGCGGGTGGGATTAAAGGCTGCGAAATTCAGTTACAAAATTAAAAAAGTCAGGCGGGTGTGTGGAGATATGTGCCTTTCTCTCTCTCTCTCTCTTTCTTTCCCTCAGTCGCTTCTCTCTCAGTCGCTTTCTGCGCGTGTGCGCCACTCCGGAGCGTCCCGCCGCTCGCGCGCCCCCCGCCTTCGCACCGGAACCCGAGCGCGTAGGCTGCGTTTTCCGCCCGGAGGCGTTTAAAGCGGGGACGGCGGCGGCTTCCTTTCCCTTTCGCTCCCCCGCCCTCAGCCGGTCGCCGTTGTTAGGGCGAGCCAATGGGCGGACTGGGCTGGGAAGCGGGCCACGCCCACCGAGGGGAGATGTTCACGTGTCCCCCTCGGCCACGCCCACACGGAGGGGCGGGGGAGGAATAGGAGGGAGTCGCCTCGGCCTCGTCACTTTCCCCCTCCTGCGGCTTAAAAAACGGGGCGAATGCATTATTATCCTTTTTCTCTGATGGCTTGACCGGAAAGCGACTGATTAAAAAAACCTGACATTTTCCAGATGTTATTACTACTGTTCTACGAGGGCTTATCCCTTTTAAAAAATGCCAAATTATTGAGGCCTTTGCCATGAAAAGCGCCCAATAAAATTATCATATTTTTGAGAGCTTGCTTGGCTCTGAAATGTCACCAATAAATAGGTGTTTATATTTATTTATATTATATACATATACACATACACACCCCGTATTTTTCCATCTATATGACTTTCCCATGTATAAGATGCCCCCTGTTTTGGGGGACTCAGATTTAAGAAAATGTGGGGAGATTTATCCATGTATAAGACGCCCCCTAATTTTTGACATTTTTTAGGGGGGGAAACCTAGTCTTATACACAGAATATATATATATTATATAGTTGAGGGTTTGGCTGTGAAAATAATAAATTATAATAAATTAATAAATGACATAATGTAAATAACATATTTCTTTAGTATTTTCATTATACTTCCAGTGCAAAATCAAAGAAGAGCCTTGTGGCATCTTAGACCCACGCAATGTTGTTGACGGACATCAGATTCCGTGGAATGGCATCTGTTCCGTCAGAGGTAGGGAATGTTAACCTGCGTGGGCAGCTGTGTATTGTTGAAGCGTGGGTATAGAGAGAGTGAGAGAACAGTTAATAAAATGCAAAAGAACCTGACAACCCATGACATGTGAGTCAAAGCCTTCCCTAACCTGGTGCCCTCCAGATGTTGTTGGACTCTTTAATTCTCATCACCACTGACTGAACCCTGGCAATTCTGGGTGGGCTGGTGGGAGTCCCAACAAAGTACACGGGGCACCAGGTTGACAAATTAGCCCAGGGGACAGCAAACTTTTTCAGCAGGGGGCTGGTCCATTGTCCCTCAGACCTTGTTGGGGGCCGAACTATATTTTGGGGGGGAAATGAACAAATTCCTATGCTCCACAAATAACTCAGAGATGCATTTTAAATAAAAGGACACATTCTACTCATTTAAAAACACGCTGATTCCCGGACTGTCTGAGGCCGGATTTAGAAGGTGATTGGGCTGGATCCGGCCCCCGGGCCTTAGTTTGCCTACCCATGAATTACGTAGCCCAATGACCATTCACTCTGAATTTTGCGTTTCCTTGCCACTATTTCTGCTGCTGAACTCCCACCTTCTATCAGATCCAGTCAGTATAGTCAGTGGACAGGAATGACAATGAAATTGAGAGTCCAGCAACATCTGGAGGGGCCACAAAGTGTTCCCTATCCCTGGCGGAGGGATTTTGCCAACCCTCTGATTAACGAAAGCAGCCTTATACCATCATAAATTTGTTACAGTGCAATCCTATGCCAGTTTGATCAGCTGTAGCAACATCATCATCAACAACAACACATATCCCCCTCTTCCAAAGGAACCCAGGACAGCAGGCAGACAGGTGATACAAACACTTGAAAGCATCTTTTAAAACAATTCCAGTACAGATGCAAGACTGGGAAATCTCTCTGCTTAAAAGGCTTGCTGGAAAAGGGAGATCATCACTTGGTGCCAAAATGACAAAAAGGTGGTACCTTAAGTTCAAGGTGAGGCCTACTCACAGGTAAGCTTGGACCCTAGTCTTTGAAGTGCCGCAAGACTAATTTTGCTGTGAACAGCAAAGTAATGCGTGCAGTTTCTCTTTTTCATGTTATCGCCATAGCGGTACAGCTACAGTGTATGGAACGCGAGGGTATAGACTGGACCCACTGGTGCAAATTCCAAACCCAGCAATGCAGACTACACCTCCATTATCATCAGGGGGCTAGGTTGCAAGCTGGCTAATGCTGGTGTTACACCACTAATGTGGCATAGTGGTTAGAGTGTTGGACTAGGACCTGGGAGTCCCAGGTTCAAATCTCCACTCGCCCATGAAGGTGACTGGGTGACCTTGGGCCAGTCACAGCCTCTCAGCCTAGCATACCTCACAGAGTTGTTAGAATAAAACGGGGAGGAGGGGTACATGAGCCAGCTTGAGTTCGCTTATGCAATAAATAACAGATTAAAAATAACAATAGCAATTAAAAAAATTGTTAAATGGTTTTCTTCTCCTAACAAGCCCTTGGTGTCAGAGTCAGCCCTTTATCCTGGAAGCATCATGCCCAAGAATGTTAGGTGGAGTCTATCTCAAAGCTAAATTCAATATCCTGTGACTTTAGGGTACTTAGTGCGGAACTATTTCCTTGAGTTGACATGACAAAAATTGTCAGTGTGGACTTCTTGATGTTTTTAGCAATAGCTTGCTTACTTTTTGGTAGCAAGCCTCTCACCCAACACCCCAGAAAGTATTTTTCAAGCTTCTTTTTATGACTAGGGGCTTTCCTTTGCCCCACTTTACATCAATACATATGTTAAACACTAAATTTAAAAGAGCCCCCTCTAGCCAAATCTCACTGTCTAGGAGGACTTTAAAGTGCTGCCCATATTGACCTATTCCAGGGCTGGCTTAAAACCAGATAATGACTGAAAACTTGGGTACCTTGCAGCCAGAGAGAGACATAAAAAAGGGACTTGCAAATATTTGGAGCTAGGAGCTAGGTAACAATATGCAAATAATACTCTCACTAGGAAAGAAATGCAGGTTATCAACATACACGTGCAACTTAAATCTTGCCCAGGAATGCAAAACATCATGAAACAGAAAACCCCCCACTTACTTCACTTCCAGAAAATGAACAGGCCCAGACTTTGGTGGCTCTCCAGAGAGAGATTTCCAGGACTGGGGAGTTTTGGGTTGCCGTCTCACTGTTCCCTATAAAGAATAAATTTGGACATTTTCTAGAGAATCCCTTTGACGGATCGTCAGGATTGCGATGGAACGCTGCAGAGGCAGCGGCCTCTGGTTTTATTATCCCCTAGCTCTGTCTTGAAAGGCTCGCTAGTCTTATTGACCAAGGGAATTTGCCTCTTCTGCTGTGAAATCATCAGATACTTGTCACTGCCAACAACAGCTGAAGCTCCGGGCTCCAGGGAACAATGGGCCTGTGGGCAGCCCTCTGGCACTTGGGCCCCCTGTAAGGAGCGGGACGGCGCGTCCCGTACAGTCCAAGGGCGGACGGGTGCTTTGCATTCTCCTGGTCGTGGGCTGCCAGGAGCGTTGACAGGCAAAGCATGCAGACTATGCACAGGGGTCAGCTTGTGGCGTTTGCGTTATCTTTTCCAAAGGCAAGGAGGATGGATGAAGCTTCTTAAAGGAAAGTCGTGGGGCCTGGAGCCAGCCGTGCTGGAATTTGAGATTGCTCCTCCAGCCTCTGGGTTTGAAGTCCTGCAGGGTTTGCTCAGATTTGCTGGGGGCTCTTTCATTCTTGGGGGCTCTTGAGGGCTCATGTTGGCCTCTGCGTAGTTTCGTCAGTGCCCCAAATACCCAGAAAGGCAATCCTATACAGTGGTACCTTGGATTACATACGCTTCAGGTTACATACGCTTCAGGTTACAGACTCCGCTAACCCAGAAATAGTGCTTCAGGTTAAGAACTTTGCTTCAGGATGAACAGAAATCGTGCGGCAGCAGTGGGAGGCCCCATTAGCTAAAGTGGTGCTTCAGGTTAAGTACACTTTCAGGTTAAGTATGGACCTCCAGAACGAATTAAGTACTTAACCCGAGGTACCACTGTATCTTATTTCTTTATTGCATTCCTATCCCACCTTTTCCCCCAAGGAGCTCAAGGTGGCATAAATGCATGGTTCTCCCCATCCTCGTTTAATCCCCACAACAACCCTGTGAGGTAGGTTGGGTTGAGAGGCAATGGTTGGCTCAAGGTCACACCCAGTGGTTGAGAGGGGGGCATTCGAACCTTGGCCTCCTAGATACAACTCTCTGACCACTGGCTCTCAAACAAGAGTTGCATGGTGAGATTTGAACCAACAGCTTCCTGGTTCCCAGCTTACTCTTCTTAGACACTATGCTACACCAACTGCAAATGTGGCTGCCAGCCGCAATGACTATGCTCCACCTTCACGGTCAGGCAATGTCTCCCACTCCTGCTGCCGCAAGTTCCCCTCCCTGTTTGTCTGCCAGAACCAGAAGAGGCATGAAAAGGGCAGAGGAGAGGTTGGCTGCATGCAGGCGCAGTCTCGGATTGCTTTTTAAAAAACCCTGGAAAAGAGGACACTTAGCTGTGGGGGTCTCAGCAACTGCTTCAGGGGCCATGCCTTCCCGGAGATGAGTTGCAGTGCTCATCAGGCCCTACATTCCCGTGCAGATCGTGGTTTTGCAACTCCAACTTGCACTGTGTGATTTATTGCTGGCTCCCTCCTCGCAATGGGACAGTGCTCCATTTGCCCTCATGGGCTAGCCTGATGAGCTCTTTTCTCTGTTCCCGAGTCCTTCATCTCCTGTGTTGATTCTCCCAACAGAACCAGCGATGACATTTTGTGCTGCGGCGAACCTTTTGCCGAAAAACGCTACAGAAGGTCAAGTGTTTTTGGGTCACCTCCAGGCTGTCGGGATGTTTGCAGGAGGGATTCAAGCATGTTCTGGAAATGTAAGGTAAAGGTAAAGGGACCCCTGACCATTAGGTCCAGTTGTGACCGACTCTGGGGTTGCGCGCTCATCTCGCTCTATAGGCCGAGGGAGCCAGCGTTTGTCCGCAGACAGCTTCCGAGTCATGTGGCCAGCATGACTAAGCCGC